CCATACCATGTGGTTGTCTCTTCCTGACCTAAGCAGAGAAAAGCATTTTGAAAATCTGAATCTAGCTTGATCTATACTTTTAAAGTCTTCTGTATCTAAACACTTCACACCAGAAAGGCTGGGAGGGAACTGTTTAATTTAGTTTACTTTATTGTCATTGCACCTCGTACAACGAAATTAAATGCCATCTTCAGTGTACATTATAATTATAAAAATAAAACACACACACACATCCTTCACAACTGCAATGAAAACATAGGTCTCTCTCCCTTCCTATTTAACATATCTATAAAGCTTACTGAGAGAAGTCATCTGGTGACATGGGAATCAGTATCTTCAGTATTCTGATTTTTTTTTCTTGAAGTATATATGGCCTGAGCTTGCTGTAAGAGTTACTGTATATTATTCACTGCTATGCAAAACTAGAGCTGAAATGTATGCATTAGTTGCCATGGCTATCATACAGATAAGAACAGAGCTTCACTACTAGACAGAATTCTTGCCAAAGATTCAAAATTTACAAAGAATTGATTTCATATACTTTAATTCTTAAATGATTATTAATGAAATTGTTGAACATTTAATGGATTTAGCATCGGATTCTAGTGTTCTCCATTCAGTGGAATTTTACTTGAAATCTAAAGTGTAGCAGATTATAAAGTGCATAGTAAGTAATCTAATTTTTTAATTAAAAAATGAGTGAATAATTAGTTTCGAGGATGAGGTAAACTGAACAATTGATGTACATGAAATGATTTGCTTTCTTTTCTTATCCAAAGCTATTTGTATACTAAGCTATAAGCCATAGAAAATCTCACAGGACCATCTTAAACCAACTTAATCTCATCCTCCTTAGACAGTATGGCTCTTGGCTGAAAATAGTTGCCTGTTCAGGTTACTTTGTTATATTTGGACAAGTCAAACTGTTGTTTATGATTTGGGTATGCTTCTACAAATCACAGCTAAACTAATCATACTTACCTGTTAAAATATAATGAAAAATGTGTGGTTTTTCATTTTATAACCCAGAAACAGATTCTTTCCATCTTCTAATGGTCATGTTGGAGGAAAGAAAGATAGATACTTATGGCCTATTTGCTACTGCTGATTTTCTTAACAATATAGCTTTACTAAAAACATATCCATGGTTTGACTTTAGCTCCATATCTGTTCAATGGAACATCAGTTCCACATTCTTAAAACTTCCTAAATGCCAATTTGAATTATATGTGCCACTAATATTAATTCACCAGCAAGTCCCAATCAAAACAGTTTAGACTAGTTGCATCCCAATAATGCAGGAGCTAAAAAGTTCCTCCTTAATTCAAAATCCGGTCTGATCACATATCTTGAAGCTTATTTCTACAAGAAATCTGTTTAAAGTGGTACCAAAATAGTGCCTCACTAATGCAAATAGCAAAATGCATTAGATTTTCTCCCATCCTATCTAAAACTAATGAATTCTCATTAGTCAGATTTATAACAGGCTCTGTTGGAACAAATGACCTAACGTGTGTAAGAACATCTCAAATACAAAATTCATTGACGTGGAATGAACACAGGGACCTTTGAAAACTATTTCCTAAAGTTCCCATCACTTATTTCAATATTTAAGGTACCAGGAAGCTAAAGACCTTAGAGAGATTTGTTGCTGTTGTAGACTCAGTTTTGGCAAAATAAAATATTCCTGGCTATAATTTCCCCATCCAGTTCTTCCCCTGAATAAGTCCTTTAAGTTATTATGAATAGCTTTTTCCTGTAACCTAACAATTTTATATTTTCCATCTGTACAATTCCCTCCAAATATTTTAAAGCTTTAGTATCTTTGGTATCTTTCCCTCACAACTTTTTGAATGACCACAAACCCGGAATTCAGTTGGAATATTTAGCCTTCAATAATTCCAAAGAGCAATTACAGATGGTTAGATAAAATACATAGACTTCCCCAAACTATTCAGTTCATTGACCCCTTCATGAAGTTTCACGAATAACACCACCAATGGGATAGTCCCATCGACCCTTGAGATGGTCTATATTGACCCTTTGGGAAACTATAACGTAACATTTATGTGAAGCCGCTGGGCGAGATCATCTGTGGTTTCGGGGTGAAGTACCACCAGTACGCTGATGACACCCAGCTGTACATCTCCACCCCAGACCACCCCAACGATGCCCTTGAAGTGATGTCCCGGTGCCTGGAGGCCGTGCGGATCTGGATGGAGAGGAATAGGCTCAGGCTCAACCCATCCAAGACCGAGTGGCTGTGGTTTCCGACGTCCCGATATAGTCAGTTGGTGCCATCACTGACTATTGGGGGTGAATCATTGGCCCCAATGGAGAGGGCGCGCAACTTGGGCGTCCTCCTGGATTCACAGCTGTCTTTAGAAGAGCACTTGACGGCTGTGACCTGGAGGATTTTTCATCAGGTTCGCCTGATTCGCCAGTTGCGTCCCTTTCTGGATCGGGACTCCTTACGCACGGTCACTCATGCCCTCGTCACCTCCCGCCTGGACTATTGTAATGCTTTCTACATGGGGCTCCCCTTGAGGAGCACCCAGAGGGTCCAACTGGCGCAGGGTGCGGCCGCGCGGGTGGTAATGAGAGCGACATGGCGTTCCCATGTAACATCCCTCCTACGCGAGCTGCACTGGCTCCCGGTGGTCTTCCGGGTGCGCTTCAAGGTTTTGGTTATCACCTTTAAAGCGCTCCATGGCTCAGGACCTGGGTACTTGCGGGACTGCCTACTACCACCAATAGCCTCCCACCGGCCGGTACGCTCTCATAGAGAGGGGCTCCTCCGGGTGCCATCGGCCAAACAATGTCGACTGGCGGCGCCCAGGGGGAGAGCCTTCTCTGTGGGGGCACCTACTATCTGGAACGAGCTCCCCCCGGAGATACAGAGGATCCCGGATCTGCGCACCTTCCACCGCGCTCTAAAGACCTTTTTATTTCACCAGGCGGGCCTGGCCTAACTTTCTCCCTCTTTTTAAACATTTTTAATTTTTAATATTTTTTAGTATTTTTAATATTCAAAGTTTAAATTTGTTTTAAATTGATTGGGGTTTTAAATTTGTCTGAGCCAAACTATTTAATTCGATTTTATCTCTGCTTTTTAAATTTTGTATATATGTATTTTATTGTTGGCTGTTCACCGCCCTGAGTCCTTCGGGAGTAGGGCGGTATATAAATCAAATAAAAGATAAAGAAAGAAAAGATATAGAGGATGGAAGCAATAAAACAACAAAATTCTTGTTTATTATGACAAGTTATCCAAGTATACTTGAAGCCTCATGTTATTTTCAGATCCCATTATCCATCCAGCTAGAACAATCTGTTACATACAAGTATTTGCAGTGACTGGAAGATGTTTTAGAACACTGAAAATATTACAATTAAAAAGCCAAGTATTCCAGACATTCACATACTGGAATACTTGGCTTTTTAATTGTAATATTTAATGTTCAATTAACTAATTGAACCAAATTTAATAAATCACTGAGCAAATAGTTTGTGAACAGAGTAAAGGTTAAATGGTGATATTTGATGCTGTTGTTGAAGCAAATGGCAATTGGCCTCGCATGGTGACATCTCATGCTGCTTCAGTAACATTAGAACAGAATTCTGTACTTGAAAGTAATTGACAAGGTAATTATGGGCATGGGACTATGTGCTCGGAGGGCAACAACTACACCCCTGAACTTGATATGTTGTTATACCTAATGAGATCCTTGTCTAATTAAATAAGTACTATTTACTGCAACAGGAACACTTTAAATCACAAATCATCTTCAATATTGCTGAATATCTTCAATAACGAGATGTAATCTTCTGAGCCCAAATTTAAATAGTGTTTATTAAATTGATGTTTGTAAATGTGGTAAAATTGTGTTTGTATGACAGTGGTATACGAGCACTGCAAATCTCAAGTATTTCTCTTATCTCTTCCTTTGTATTAGTAGGAATATAAGTTTTAAAACTATATTCTTGAAGATACGTATTTTGTTAAGGAAATAAATGTTTACTTTGCACCTGTTAATTGCATTTTGTAAAATTATTACTTGTACAAAATAATACCCATTTTAAAGTAAACTTGATGGTTACAAGAATAAAATCCCAATTTATCTTATTTTGCCTGTTCCACTTAAATTGCATAAAGTTATGTTTTGGCAAAACACTTTATCATTTAACAGTTTAGTGAATATATTTATGTAATTTGATTTCAGTGGTAAAACTATTGATTTTAAACATCTCTGCAAAGAAATTTCATTTACATTTTATATACTTAAGAAATGAACTACTAAAATAAAGTGCAATAGACAAGTTTCAAACAATTCTATTATACTTTAATACTTTAAGAAAATAAACTTTAAATAAAACAATATATATATATATATATATATATATATATATATATATATATATATACAATCATTAATATTCAATATACCATCATTAAAATACTGTTAAATTTACATTGTCAATCAAAGCTAAGTAGTGAACAGACACTACTTACGACTACTTCAAATAGAAACTCCTTTCAATAGTTCTCACCTATTTGTACAAAATATAATGTAGGACTTTCTACTGCATAGGAAATATACAATTGACAAAAAGAATTACATGGGCAGATCTGAATTTATCTCTGGCACTTGGTTATGTTTCTATCAACACTGATATGGTATATGGAAATTTAAACTAATTCAGTGCTGCTGTGTTGATTTTCACTGCCTCAAAATTTTATTGGCACAATATGGTACCTTCTGTTTTTAAAGTGCTTTTATTCCTGTAATAATTATAAATCTAGATTGTCAGATGAACATAATTGTCAAATGAAAATAATTATTGAATGTGAATTAAGATTTTCTGGGCCAGTAAGGTCAAATTGATATTTGTAAAAGAGCAATGTAAACCCGTAGTTAAATTTGGAATGAAGACTTTAAGGACAATATGCTTCAGATGTTACTGCTGTGCACCCATCCCTGAGAGAACAAACAGATAGCCATGGAAGTCCTTTAATACAAAAAAGGTATCATACAAAAATAAGGATAGTGTACATTATTTGCTCAATAACCTAATGAATTTGCAATGAGGAATTCTGATAAAAAACGGAAAAAATAATTGTATGAGATGTGTGCTAGATTCTGTGAATAGTGGGCAACCCATTGCAATCCAATTACAAAATAAACATTTCATTTATCACTATATTAAAACCATGTTGAAAATTCTGATGTTTCCCTTTCTGTTCCAATTCAATTTAAAATAATTTGCTTTCAAATTTTATTTCAGAGGAGACAATTTTGGTGAAATACACTTCGGCAGAGTGTTGTTTTAGTCATGATGGTCACAGAGTATCTGTGAATGTCCTGTCTTTCACTGTATAAGGATCTCTCCAGCATTTTGCAGCTTACTAAGAGACTGGAATTTATGGACAAACAGGGAGGATTAATTGCAATGCTGAGATGTAAAATAGAAAACACGTTTGGCTAACTATAATCTGAAAGCTAGGAAAAAAAGGCTAGGAAAATAAACACAAAATAAATCCTCAAGTTTGAGAAGATAGAAAACACAAGATCATTTGCAAGGGGAAAATATTAACGATAACGCTGATTCAGCACAAAGTTAATATATGAACCAATCCACAAGCATGAAGCCTGCACAAAGCCCAAAAATCAATCACGATTTTGGTAGGATAAAACTATTTCTCATGACAATTATTTATAATCTGACTTCCAAGATAAATATTTTACAAGGCAGTTTGCAAGCAGTTATCAAAAACCATAAACAAAAAAGCAAATAAAAAATTGTAAAAAAAGATCCTTGTATCCTTCCTACAGGGCAGCTGGTTGGTGGAACTAGACCTTTGGTAGGTGATAGAGCAGAGTCTAGTCAAAGGATGTCTTGAGAGTATCTTCATGGTCCTTTCTCTTCATCTCTGTCTCTCTAGAAATCCTTCCCAATGATTGCCCTCAACAATTACTTCATAAAGTTGATAGATAGGTGTAGGGAACAATACCTAAACTAACATAGTTCTATTTTCTTTAATGATAACTATTATAAATGTACCATCTTTTAATACTATTTGCAGAATGAAATCTTCAATACCAGATGTCATGCTTTCTGAAATGATATTGGTATACTCTCTGCAAGTCCTATTATAAAAAAGGGAATAGCTGTGATTGGAAAGCAAAAGGGTTAAGTGGAATGAATACCAATAATGGTAAGTAGCATCTTACAATTATGTGGTTACTAAAATACCACGAATAGAGCTTAGTTCAACTAATATTAGAACAGAATGAATGACACAGTGATGATCAAAGTAATGCTGTAATTCAGCATATAAGCAAATATTCAAATATCTGTAACTATATTCGTAACTATACATTGATTGCCTAAAAGTCTCAATATGATATATTCAATCATATATATTGATGTCAAACGGTGATCTTCCACACACACAGATACAGGACTGAGGAAACCCCAACATAAATATATGAACATTTTTAGATAAATACTTATGGGGGAAGTCAATTTAGCCTCTCCCATACACTAAAAACCAATAGCATATTAGCTATTTGAGGTGGAAAAGATATTTAGCAACTGGCTGGTTGAGCTTCTGTACACAACATCCCTGTATGACAGTTACACAGAAATATCTAATTGAAAAATCCCGCTAAACAGAGACACAAAATGCAGTTCCAATGATTGTAAATTATTTCTGTTTATTATTCAAATGTTAGATTTTTCAGAACAAAATAAAGCTTTCATTTCTATTGTATAAATATTTCAATAGAACAATCTTAAATTGGTGTTATAGGAGTAATTCAGGGTGGAGGAATTCACATTTACTTATACCCTATTGATTTGGTATAATCCAGGAAGGAAATAATGTTTTTCTTACTGTCAAATGCTGTAAACAGGTATAAAATAGTTCTTAGACTGATAAATTATAAATCTAGAATATTTTCGGGTGACTCATGGCTGTTTCCTATTTGACAGTCTAGAAAAGGGAAGCCTGGTGATAGATGTGGAGAATTTCTGTGGGTGAATCTCTTGATTTTTCCTTCCACAGATGATAAAATTCAGAATTATCTGTGAAAATGTAATACTTCGTCAAGGATCCACTTTCTTTTTTAAATTCAAAGATTAAATTATGTATAAAATTGATATTTTTCATGTTTTTCTTATATTAAAACATAATTTGCAATTTCCAAATGTATTAAAGTTTATGTATGTATATGTAGGCACAGGAATGAAAGCATATTTTAATGCTTATAATTTTAAGGAAAAGAATCAGTCGAAGATTGATTTGATCCTGGACAGATCAGAGATAATGATTGCCGTAGTTTATGGTAGATTAGAAGATGTTGTTTACTTTCTGTGTGCGAAATACAAGAATATATTGTTAAGAGTATCTGAAGTTTACTTTTATTGTTGAGTTTACCTGATAAGTTACCTGATAACTTTTTTAATGGTAAATAGTTGGCAGATCAAATTAGTCGGGCAAATAGAACTGTAGAAGTTTATAAACAGTAGGCCTATTTTGCAAGGGGGGAAATTATTATTGTTGAAATATATTTATCAGTAATCAACTAGGGTGACCATATATGTGCATGGTTTTTTTTAATGCACTTTTTTGTTTAGTTGCTTTGCTGTTGTTTCCCTTTTTTTGTGGAAATTTGTATTTTAACTTTGGAAATATAATTTATTAAAGGAATGGAAGCATATTTTTCTGATATTTTGCATAAAAGATGTTCACGCTTCAACGTAGGTGACTACACAGACACAATTTTCTGTTATGAGTCCTCTACATCACACTTGCATTTTATTTTGCATTTACCAGTTATAATTTGTGGTAATGATTGTGTTATACAATCTGTGTCATTCATTCTGTCACTAAATTATTACAGTTTCCCTTACATTTTACCCCAAGTGCACCATCTGCATTGATAGATTTATATATATCCAGTGAGCTTGTTTAATAAATATTTGTACCTATGCCTCAAAAACATTTAGTGATAAGGCATGGATACCAGCTATTGGGAAAAATAAGTTCTATTTAGGTACATTTAATTTAGAGGTTAGTTCAGTCTTAGGATCGGACTATTTACTTTAATGGCAAGCTCTCTTATTATCTTAGCATACCATTACAAGCATGTAGTATTTAAGCAGTGATGGGATTCAAATAATTTAACAACTGGCTCTCTGCCCTAATGATTTCTTCCAACAACCAGTTCACCAAACTGCTCAGAAAGTTAACAACCGGTTCTCCCCAAGTAGTGTAAACTGGCTGAATCCCACCACTGTATTTAAGCCAGTTTTATCTTTTAAATGTCCTTATTTTATATTTCTATTAGACAATGCAAGCAGTCCTAATGGTGGCAAATAATAGTAAACCAGAAGTATTAAAAGGTAAGGGGACCAATAAACAGATAATCATGAATGTTAACTTCAGTGGAAATACACTGATTTTTATAGTGCTTAATAAATTGCTCCCAAGGTGAGTTTTCTGTAGTACCACATTCAATAAAGAAAAGGTAAAGTTTCTTTTGAGTTAAGCTTGATTTCTGATAACGTCATATAATACTGATTTAAAAAACTTAGCCTTTTCTTCTCCCAAGTATTAGTTTGTTCATATTTATTATATACCAGTCTTTTTATCAGTCTATAGGTACAAATAGAACAAGGCATGTTTAAGAGTTTCTAAAAGTAAAGTTTAGTTCAAAACTTTACTTGGCAAGTAAAAAATATCCTAGATATAAAATTTCATAAAAGTATGGTTTTAAGCCACAGTACTGATCATTCAACTGATCATAATGATTAGATACTATAAAGTATCTAGAATTATAATCTGGGGGTAACCAGATATGTAAAGTGCTTGGAGTGACTTTCAAAAAGAGCTAGTTACAATTGGGTATGGCAATGTTCACTGTATATCATCTACCTTTAGGCATTTTTGAAAAAAGTATTACTAATGATATGCCACATGGTATTCAGCTACAGTATTACCTGAACAGCATATATTCTCCTCCCCCAACCCCAACCCAATCACTAAAAATACTAATAGTTATTTCAAAAAGAAAAACACAATTGTTCCATATCACATCTTTCACTATTCACTCCAATTGTAAACAAGACATATAGATTCCCTGACTTGTCCTGCTTCAGTGACACCTTAAATAACATAACTTTGTTAATTGTCAATGCACATTTTGAAAAAGTACCATCATTTTGTTCCTTTTTAAAAACAACATTTATACTGTAGATTAAGAAAGAAAGTTTTAAAAGTGACTGTGCGCTGAATGTAAAGCTTCAAATTCTTTTGCCGCCTGTCAGAATATCTTTGTCCAGATAATAGTGATAGTCACAGAAGCTGATGATTATCCTGGCAGATAAAATTCCAACTGAAGGTGATAGTTGTTTTCTTTCTTAGAAAGCTTATTTCTTTAGAAGATCTTCCCAGCTTTAGATACCTTGTTTACTTACATTTTTGTATGTTAGGTTCTTTAAACAATATGGGTACGTTTTCCCTTATCCCTGCAGAAATCTGATTCCACATTGTTCTTTCCACTGTTAAATATTAAATAAGCTTGTGAATGCAGCTATTTTGCAGGAAATGTATATTCTTAAATTCACTGAATGATCATAAAAGCAGTTTGTTATTAAACAGTGAAAATTATTCCAATTCCTTTCTTTCAAAATCCATCTCTATTGAAGTGCCTTTGGTTAGGAAATTTTAGCAACAATTGGGTTTTCTCTATAAAAGAAAAAAAAGAACCTTATCTAATTATTTGTTAGAAACAGCAAGTTAAAAATTATTTTTCACTTACAATTAGTGCTGTGTTTTCTGACAATAAAATTTCAATCTTACTGATCTCCATTGAGCAGACTTAAATCCACCTGGATATCTCCCACAAATAAAGAAAACTTCTGCATTCTACAGTACACAATCTGGATGAGGGATTTAAATTTAATTCAGTACCACTTTACTTTTACAAAACCTGAGTGTTTATATAATTTGCATAATGACATCCCCATGAAAAAGAGAAAACAAGTGCAAATAATGTATTTTCATATTTAACAGTTGGAAATATTGAACACTTCCTCTCCCAATTAGTCCATTAAATCAAAGTTTTACTGTATTAAGATTTGCAGAATGAAGGTTGTGATCTTAACTGCCCATCTGAATTTCCCCCTGAGATAATTTCGAGTTCTAAACACATTGCATCCCCAAAACTAGTCATATTCAATTAAAATTAGGTGGGTATTGATAGGGATTGCATTTAGTTGTGATATATGCTCATTTTATTGTGGCAAATTTGTCATTATGCTTCAGAATTAACTTTCTTCCCAAATTACATCTTCTAATATGTTGTACAGGGCAGGACAAAATCCACTTGCTTGATTTCTAATCACTTGCCCCCAAATTTGAACTGATTGCAATTCATCTGTGTTAAAGATAAAGTAAATAATGATATGTTAACGTTTGGTTGAACTATCTTTCACAACCAAAACCTATTGTCATGATTTATCTTGGTAAGTTATCTTGAACAATACATAATGCATTACATGACTATGTGGTCATAGAATTACATTAACATATAGTTGCAGTTTGTTAAAGGACAAGCCTGTTGTAATGGTAGAATTGCTTACAATACTTACTCACTGCCATATTTAGCACTAGATGATCTTTTTTCTCGATACTTATCATGATGTATGTCCAATTGTTCTACAATTGATATTATTTGCTGAAGAGTTTGAAAAGTTGCTACCGAATCCTCAATTTTGAAATTAGAATAATCATCTGGCTCTTTTTGTGGACCTTGGTAGACTGCTATACTTCCACAAGCCTCTAAAAATAAGTATACATTAGAGTATTATGAAGCTTTAAATGTTCAGGAAACAAACTTTTGCTGCTCTATATCTTCAGACATAGGTTTTGCCATAAATGTGATTAATTAAAATAATGAAGAATGGTATTTTGGGGGCAAAACAGAATACCGTTTCTTGTTAATTCACTAATTCATCAGTGTAAATTAAAACAATTTAAATTAATTGTTATCTGGACTGATAAGTACAAACTTTTCCATGAAAAAATATAAAAGGATCAAAAGGATCACTATTATATTCTCCTTTCATAAATCTGTAAATTCTATCAAGTCTGAATATCCAGGAGATGGCGCTGAATCACACAATTTCTTGATTTAATGGACCTTGGATCATCAGACTTTATATATAATGCATAAAAACTAACCTCAAGTACACAATAAAAGAAGCAGTAGCCCAACTGGATAAAACTTGGTTCCCGAATAATGAACATCAAATATAATCACTCCTTGGTTCTGCAGTTCCATATTTGCTACTTGGGGAATGTTTACAATACCCTTTTGACTTAGTTCTACTGGAGCCTTTAAATTCACAAACATCACTTCCACTATTGCTACAGTTGGATGGATAGGCTCAAATTAAAACCTCTTTGGATATAATGGAGATTCAGCTTCAACAGAGACTTCTCCCTTCCACGTATTAGCTTATTATATGTAGGGTTTACTTTATTAACACATATGCAGTAATTGAGATGTACACTGGCAGGATACTTTGAGAATCATATCTTGAATACAGTGCATTCAGAAAGTATTCAGACCCCCTTCACTTTTGTCAATTTTGTTATGCTGCAATTTAATTCCAGTTATTGAAATTCATTTTTTTCTCATTAATCTACACTCAATACCCCATAATCACAAAGTGAAAACAGAAGTTTAGAAATGTCTGTAAATTTATTAAAAAGAAAAAACTGAAATATCACATTGGCATAAGTATTCAGACCCTTTGCAAAAATGAGGGAGTTATTATATACTGTTCAAAAAAATAAAGGGAACACAAGCAGAAGACATCCGAGATCTGAATGAATGAAATAGCCTTATTAAATACTTTGTTCGTTACATACAGTAGTTTATACACTGCTCAAACAACTAAAGTGCTCCTTGGCTTAGGGCCGGGGTATCTACGAGACCGCCTTCTGCCGCCAATAGCCTCCCACCGGCCAGTTCGCTTGCACAGAGAGGGCCTCCTCAGGGTGCCGTCGGCCAGACAATGTTGGCTGGTGACCCACAGGGGAGAGCCTTCTCTGTGGCGGCACCTGCCCTCTGGAACGACCTACCCTCAGAGATACGCATGATACCAGACCTCTGGACTTTTCGTCGGGCCCTGAAAACACATCTATTTCATCTAGCCGGGCTGGCTTGATCCCATCTTTGCGGTTTTAATTTGAAATTGGTTTTAATTGGGTTGTTTTAAATTGAAGGCCAAATTATTTAATGTTTTTAAACTGCTTTTAAATTTTATATGTTATGTTTTACTGTGGCTGTTCACCGCCCTGAGTCCTGTTGGAGAAGGGCGGTATACAAATTAAATAAATAATAAATAATAATAAAATAATAATAAAGGGAACACAAAACTACTGTATGTAACGAACAAAGTATTTAATAAGGCTATTTCATTCATTCAGATCTCGGATGTCTTTTGCTTGTGTTCCCTTTATTTTTTTGAGCAGTGTATTTGATGTTCATTAAGTTTTATTCAGCTACACCACTGAAATTTAGCTCTGGTGCCTCCCATTTCTCTTGATCGTTGCTGACATGATTCTACACCCTGATTGGAGTCAAACTACGGTAAATTAAATTCATTGGGCATGATTTGGAAAGGCACAAACCTCTCTAAAGAAGGCATCACAGCTGAAATGCATACTATAACAGAGCAAAAACCATGAGGTCGAAAGAACTGCCTGCAGAGCTCACACAGGATTATTGCAAGGCACAGATCTGGGGAAGGCTACAATAAAATTTCTGCTGCACTGATGGTTCCTAAGAGCACGTTATGTCTGGAGGAAACTAGGCACCATTCATCACCTGCCCAATATCATCCTAACACTGAAATATTGTGGTGGCAGCATTGTACTGTGGGAGTGTTTTTCAGCAGTAGGAATTGGGAGACTGGTCAGGGTTGAGGGAAAGCTGACTGGAGCAAAGTAACAGGACATCCTCAATGAAAACCTGTTCCACAATGCTCAGAACCTCAGACTAGGCTGAAGGTTCACTTTCCAACATGACAACGATCCTAAGCACACAGCCAAGACAACATAGGAGTGGCTTAGGGACAACTCTGTGAATGTCTTAGAGTGGCCCAGCCAGAGCCCTGTCTTGAACCCTATTGAACATTTCTGAAGGGACCGGAAAATAGCTGTCTGACAGTCGTCATCTAACGTGACTAAGCTTGAGAAGATTTGCAAGGAGAAATGGCAGAAAATCCCCCAATCCAGGTGTACAAAGTTTGTCGTGTCATACCCAAAAAGACTCAATGCTATAATTGCTGCTAAAGGTGCTTCAACAAAGTACTGAGTGAAGGGTCTGAATACTTATGCCAATGTAATAATTCAAGTTTTTGAAAATAAATTTACAGACATTTCTAAAATCCTGTTTTCACTTTGTCATTATGCCTATAGATTAATGATAATGATGGTGGTCTTCCGGGTGCGCTTCAAGGTATTTGTTACCACCTTTAAAGCGCTCCATGGCATTGGGCCTGGATATTTGCGGGACCGCCTTCTGCCGCCGATAGCCTCCCACCGGCCAGTACGCTCCCACAGAGAGGGACTCCTCAGGGTGCCGTCAGCCAGGCAGTGTCGGCTGGCGACCCCCAGGGGGAGGGCCTTCTCTGTGGCAACACCTGCCCTCTGGAACGACCTGCCCCCAGAGATACGTATGATACCAGATCTCTGGGCTTTTTGCCGTGCCCTAAAAACCTTTCTTTTTCACCAAGCAGGGCTGGCGTAACCCCTCCCCCCCTTTTTGAGATGTTAGATTTTTAATTGTCTATGGGTTTTAGTTGGGATTTTAAATTTAGGCCAAAGTTGTGTAATTCTTTTAACAAATTTTAAATTTTGTATTGGGATGTTTTTATTTTGGCTGTGCACCGCCCTGAGTCCAGTAGGAGAAGGGCGGTATACAAATTTAATAAAATAAATAAATAAAATAAAATGAGGGAAAAAAAGAATTTTATCAACTGTAGAATCAGGCTGCAGCATAACAAAATTGATAAAAGTGAAGGGTGTCTGAATACTTATTGAATGCACTGTAACTGAAAGCAAATAATTCAATTTAAGCCAAGAGTTTTTCTCTAATACTTGAAAGAAGCAACTGTGTTTACAATATATAGAATGCAAACAAAGGCAAGAAAGAAGTCTACTAGAAGCCAATTTTTGCATTCTCCTTTATACATGATAAAGCCCAACATCCTTTTAAAAAAGCCTCCAAGGACCAGGGACTCCCAAATGGGTATGGGGTACTATAGTGTTGGGGGCTGAAGGAGAATATCTGGGAAAAACCTGGCAATCTATCATTTTTGTCTGACGTGATTTTTGTTTTGAGCCAACCTATTATATTTGAAAATTATCTGGAATGGATATGGGATTACCAATTTAAACAATAGCTAATACTAGCTATTAATATTACAAAACTGATTGTACAAATGAGTCTTTCATACCTTGCATTTTTTGGAGTTTTGGCATACTGATTGCAAAGACTGAGTAGATTCTCTCTGCTTCTCGATCTCCATCTATTTCTATCTGAATGTCAGCAGGTACACCTCTTCAATTAGAAATACAAAATTTTACAAAATGTTATTTTTAGAGAATCACTAGTCATATATTAAAGCATACACAAATAAAAGAGAAAAAAAAGCAATGCAGATGTGCAAAACTTCTAGATCATTTATATTTACAGTTGTATCATGATAGGTAGGAATTCTTAATATATGCCCTACCAGAATTAATTGAAAGAGTCCATAAAGCTATAACAAATCCATCTGTGAAACTAGTCAACTGCAATTTAATTCCTAATATCATGCAATAATTGTGTATACAACATTCATATTATTTGATGCTGAGACAATGTAAGATTAGGGTTAAAAATAAGAAAAGTATTAAATCCCACTCTCTATTCTGTAACTCTTCAGACATAGAAATGCTCACTAAGCAAGCATCAATCAACCATCTTTTTAATAAAAAGAACCACTAGGAATAAGATTGAAAGATAGGCACATACACATACAACCATCTTATTGTTGCTTTGAGTAAGCAACAGTATATAAAACACAGAGAGTAAGAAATATCAATCCCAAAATATCAAAAGCTTGAAATGAGAAATATTGTTAAATCTAATTTATGCCAAATCCATTCAGTATATCTCCCTCCTTGCAAATCCTCCTTGCTTCCACCAATACATGTATTATGGGTGCCATATAATTTTTTTACTTTATAGTTATAGTAAACTTTTATTGCATTTTTATAGTAATAATATAATATGTTTTTGGTGGATTTTATTGTGAGATGCCCTAGGTCCGTAATGGCGAACCTATGGCACGCGTGCCACAGGTGGCACACAGAGCCCTCTCTGCAGGCATGCCAGCCATTGCCCTAGCCCACCTGTACCGTACATGCACGCATGCCTCCCGATGGCCATCTGGTCTTTGGGTCTTTGCCGTGCATGCGGGGGATTGCCTTATGTGGCCCCCTGTCACTCCATTTTGGGCCTGGAAAGCCTCCTGCACCAACCTGGAAGCCAAACAGGGGGCTGTGGGGCAGGGCGCATGCACGGCAGGGAGTATGCACAGGGCTGCTCGCATTGCATTTTGGGGGTTCTGGCACGTGCATGTACATTCGTGCGCACGCGCTTTGGGCACTCGGCACCAAAAAGGTTAACCATCATTGCCCAAGGTCCTAGGAAGCAGTGGTGAAGGAAGAAAGGAAGGAAAAAAAGGGCACTGTAATGATATATACTCAGGTTGCAAAGAAAAAAAGTCATTTCGAAATAGCACCTTAAATACATTCATATATTATAGGATTAATAATCTATGTTGTTTCATAATCAGAATTGATGACAAGTTGCCATAAATATTAATACGTTTTCAAATCTAATAATGTTCACTTGTTAATCTCAAGCACATGTGTAATTCTGATATGAATCTCCCTTTAGTCATTAGGAAGGCAACCTAAGTTACAGCAATATACTGTAAACAAAATTATTTCTATTCCAAAACATGCATATGTTATTTTTCTTGTAGATGTTACTTACGCAGTACATGGCATACAGCCCACTGTGTTTTCTGATGTGGCTTTACAGCAAAGCCAATTTCCATTCAAAAAAGCAGATGGGTGATAGATGTTCAATCGCTTTTGGTTGCATCTGCTCACTCTACAGAGAGCTTCTATCCACTCACTAGCCTCCACACAATTATTTGCCTGCACATAGAGTGGTTTTTCAACATGTATTACTTGAAACATCTGAAAAAGAAAACAACGCCATTCAAACAATCAACAATTTAATTAGAGGAGAAAAAAAAAGAGACTCAGCACAATTTTTTATGCTTATTTGTTTATGTATTATTTAAAAACTTCGAAAACAGTAGACTGCATGCTTATCCAAATGGCTGCCTTGGTGTAACAGATACTGGTTAATGTATTAACTTCCAATTTGCTCAGAAAAGGAGGGATGTTATGATCCACATTTTTGCTTCTAGGCTGATAGACTGCCCAATTTCCTCCATGATTACAGACACCTGAGAATACCTCAAGGCAGAGGAAAAAAGAAAGTAGGAGAGCAAGTAATATCTCTCTAATTGTTCTAGTACAATAAAGAAGAGATGCAGGGAAGAGAATTCTGCCACAACTTGAATTAATAGGTATGACAAATAGGAGTCAGGCATTGAGGAATTAGAGAATGATTACTAAATTTATCTTTTTAGTACCACCCATCCTCCTTGTGTTCTTGATTTAATGAAAAATAAATCATCCTACAAAGAAAAGCACCAGCCTCTAACGAAGTATTTATTTATAGTTGTATCTTTTTGGATCCCATAAAGCCTCACTAATATGCAGATTTACCATATTTTTTAGAGGAATTGAGATTGAACTTCTTGACACTTTTAAATATCTTGTAGTGGTCTTCAACATCAAAGGATCATGAAAGGACCATAATTATGCCTTTCAGGCAGCATTCTAATTTTCTCCTGCCATTAGACATTCTTTTTCTCTAATGGTGGAGAGTTAGTTCTTGCCACTTTTAAAAACTTTTTAAAGCCCAAACATTAGATTTTAAATGGAATACACTTCTCACCTTTTCCAGGTTGTTGAAAGACTTTGTCTGGGCACAACATTTGTTGCCATTAGTGCTTCTATTGAGCAAATACTCCAAACTCACCTTACTGGAATAAGTTTGCTTTTGGGAATCAGAGAAGACTGAAACCACTGTCCACATATTGCTGCATTGAAATTTCTAATATGTGGAATTCACTTATTTCACTTCTTATGTAGTAGCATTCATAATGAACCAAACTCTATTCTAACCCTAGCATTATCAGTACTACTGTGGCTAAATTCTGTGTTGGTTATAATGTATCTTCGAATTCTGTAGTTCTAATTATATTGTTACATATTTTAATGTTTTTAACTGGATCATTAAACCTAATTATAATATAGGAATTCTTACCCTAGATCAGGGGGTGTCAAACTCAAGACCTGTGAGCTGGATCCGGCCAGTGGGGTGCTTACATCTGGCCCGCGGGGCCAGCCTGGAAATAGCAAAGGACTGGCCCGCAGTGCCTCTACTGGCCAAAACAGACAGAGTTTCTTCAATCTTCTTTCAATCTTCTGACAAGCAAAGTCAATGGGCAAACCAGATTCATTTAACAACCGTGTTACTAATTTAACAACTGTGATGATTCACTTAACAACTGTGGCAAGAAAGGTTGTAAAATGGGGTAAAATCACTTAACTGTTTCCCTTTGCAATTTTGGGGTCTATGGCGATTGTAGCTTGAGGACTCCTTGTAGTTCAAAATCAACATACAACTGCTTTTTCAGTACATGTAACAAGAATTTGAATAGAGCTTTGTATCCTGGCATTAAAGTTCTCACTTTTATGCAATATTTTAGACTTTTTCATGCTTGACTGTTATTTCAAAAGTTACTTACATTTTTCCTGTTAAATGAACCCTCATCAAGTTTTTCTACTGCAAGAATGTTTTTGACTGGAATGGTGAATATAGGTTCTTTATCTGGATTACGAAAAAAATAGCAAGTCCTTTAATTATAAATAAAACCCTAACTGTTTAAGGTAACGCAAAACACAAATCCTGGTGGAACACATTATATGTGATAAAGATAAGGATGGTGGAGCATCTGGTCAGGATGGTAAACTGACTGTATTCTGCTGGGAGTGTGTCTGCTGTTAATTGTTATGATTTTATATTATTTTTGTGGATTTTGATTTTGACAGGTTTTGATTTTTCATATATGCTGCCCAGCATCCATTAACCAGACACCCTTGCAAATCCCAACAATGAATGAATGAATAACCCTACAGGTAAAGGAATCCAAGATTTCATTTTTTGCTTCTCGGACTCAAAAGTATACATTTGTCTACAGTATCCTGATTAACTCACAAACATAAGCCCAATGGCAAATAGTTTTGTAAACTTAATACATTTGGAAAAATTACATAATTAAAAACATAAAAGAGTACTTTTACTTATTTGTTTATACTTAACAAATACAATGTTATAATGTACTCTTAACCATTGGAATTGAAGAATGTAATCAGTTTATTACCATCAGGTCAAGCTGTATAACTTGAAAGGTTAAGATTTTAAAAAAAGTACAATACCTTGTTGCTTATGATAAGTGAGTTCTCTACTTGTAAGGCAGAACCAACGCTTCTTGAAATTCTTTTTTCCAATACGAGTTCTTCCTTGTGCTCTTTTGAACATCTCCCTGTGAAACAAATACAAGGACATTTTTCACAGATATTTTCAAATTTTCTAATAGGTTATCTGGGTGTATTAATTTACAAGTTAGATTAATGGATTTAACTTCTGATCTTATCACAAATGGTCAGAATAAAGAAGTACTGAGGACTGATTCCCTGATTCCGCATGAAGACATACTAAACTAAATACCATGCAGTTTCTTTCCTATATTTTTTTCTTTTCCTCTTGTGCACTCTCTTGTTTCTCGCCCTCTTCTCTTTTTCTCCCCTCTCACACTGTTTTTTGTGCTTTCTATTCTTGTTGTAGGAAAGTTGACTTGTAAATACTGGGGTATGGAGTTTGATTAACATTTTATGCAAGGTTTGTACCACTCATAATGTTTTTTTAAAAATGCACAATTTTTCTACAAACCCAAAATTGTTGTGGAACTTAATTTAGGAATATTAATAAAAACTGAATATAGTAAAAAAAACCACAGGTATAAACTAGAATAGTATTTAATTGGTACAGTTACTATAATTTACTACATAAAACAAGTAATGTTTACAAAATTTGAAGATTTTTTTGGACATACAGTCTTCGACTTATGACCACAATTGAGCCCATTTCTGTTGCTAAGTGAGACATTTGTAAGTGAATTTTGCCTCATTTTATGACCTTTCTTGTGATAATTGTTAACTGAATCACTGAAGTTGTTTAGTTAGTAACACGATTGTTAAGTGAATCAGGCTTCCCCATCAACTTCACTTGTCAGAAAGTCATGATTACATGATTACATGGCCCTGGGACACTGCAACTGTCATGAATATGAGTCAGTTGCCAAGATCTGATTTTGATCATGTCACCATGAGGACGTTGCAATGGTCGCAAGTGTGAAAAATGATCGTAAGTCACTTTTTCTAGTGCCACTGTAACTTTGAACAGTTATTATATGAACTGTTGTTAAGTCGAAAACCAGCTATATTTTCCTTTATTGTAAGAAAGAACATCCTTGTATAGACAGACCCCATTTATAAATAACTTCACGGACTTCTAAACTACAGTAAAAGTCAACAAGGTAATGCCTATACCACTTCCAGATATTGTTCATGAAAGCGCTTGTGTTAACACCAACTAACACTGATGGTGTTACCTAGTTTGTATAATCAAATGTCTACAAGAAAATAACCAAGCTCAAGGAGCTCTCATTTCAACAGTGAGCTACAAATATTCTCTTAAGGCTATAATTTTTGAACTCCTTAATTATTTGTTAATTTTTATTTTCTGGCTTCATACCTCTCAACAGCATAAAACAATGGCAATTCTCACTTGAAATGTTTGCCCACACTTGATTTATAGAGATAATAAAAGAGTAGGGGACAGCAATCTTATTCTTAGGACCAAAATATTTTATATTTAGGTCAATAGGAATCCCTACAAATTTTAACCCTTGTTTCATAAAGCCTTAACACTCAGGGCAACTTTTTCAAACACATAAGTAGTTGCGAATGAAAGCCTACAATTCTGCCTGGAACTAATATAAAGTGTCATAAATCTTACATATTTGTTTGATGTATTTTTTAAAAAATCAATTACAGCCTTGCACATTGTACTTTGTATTAAGTTACCCTTCTTTTAGATGCAATGGCTCATTCATGACACTTGGTTCTTTACTTTCCGTGGAAGACACTTCATCTAAAAACTGAATATGAAGAATATATTAGAATAATAGGATTTATTTTCCCAATTTTACCCAGAATCTTAAAAATTAACAAATACTTAGAACATTAAAACACACTTATTTTTAAGTAAAATGAACATTTTAATAGTTTAAAGTTGTTCTACATTTTTCCTTTGCATTTACTATGTATTTATTTTTAAAAGATTCCTCCCAAGTATTTTACTAAAACAAGTGAAGTTTAAATGTAACATATAGAGAAGCCTGTGCTGGATATGGTAAAACTTTCTAGTTTTCCAAGAAAGCTAGAGAATTTTTTTTTTTTTTTGAGAAAATCAAATATTATGTATAAAGGAAACAATACCTTTTTGACTATTTCAATGTATTCCTCTTCTTGAAACATTTTGAAAAATTCACACATAAAGGTCTCCTTGAAGCTTGACTAAAAAGGGAAAATAGATAGAAGTAAATCTTTATAGAGAGATGCCAGTAGACTAAAGTAATTTCAGTGTGATACTTACCAGCTTGCTTTTGGATAAACTTCCCCAGCTTCCCAGTGTCTGAATTGCTTTTGAGATAAGAGTTAATGTTCTAGATGTCTGTGCATCCTATAAGAGGTATTTAAAGAAACACATTCACTATTTTATAAGTGATAGTTCAACTGGGTTGTATACATGTTGTCCTTGACTAACAACCATTCAGTGATGTTTCAAATTTACAATGGCACTGAAAAAAGTGGCTTATGACCGTTTTCCATGCTTACAAAGTCGCAGCATCTCCAGTCATATGGCCAAAATTCAGACGCTTGGCAATTGGCATGTATTTATGACAGTTGCAGTGTCCCAGGGTCATGTGATCACTTTTTGCAATCTTCTGACGAGGTAAGACAAAGGGGGAGCCAGATTCACTTAGCAACCATGTTACTAACTTAACTGCAGTGATTTACTTTATAACTGTGGCAAGAAAAGTTATAAAATGGTTAATAAATAAAAAGTTATAAAACTCACTTAACTGTCTTGCTTAACAACAGAAATCTGGGGCTCAATTGTGGTTGTCAGTCAAGAACTACCTGTAATATGACCACTGAATATGCTATCTGGTGACAAACTATTTCAGGTAGTCCTTGACTTATAACTGTAATTGAGCCCAAACTAAGTGGGTCATTATATGACTGAACTGATTTTATGACATTTTAGTAATAGTCGTTAAAGTGAATCAGTATGGTTGTTAAGCAAATGCTTTGGTTGTTAAGTGAACCCATTGTCCGCAATGTATGTTTTTTGCCAGAAACCTCAAGTAAATGCTGGCTTCCAGAAAAGGGGGTGGGGGGGAAGAAAAGAGTTGTAAATCACAGTCACATGACCAAAGGATGCTGCAAACAACCATAAACATGGTTTATGTGATCATATGCATGTGTTCCATTTGTGTGTTGGCCAAGACAAGAACTATCTGTGCAATGAAATAGGCAGATATATCAGCATATCAAACATACATTTTCTGCAACAATACAGATTTCATGGGCATCCACACAAGCATTGTAATATTGAAACAAGAATTGTTTTTCTTCAGATATAAAGAGGTTGGTCTTAACTGCACAGCAGTCAATACAGTTACATCCAGGGTAATTTTGCCTAAAATAATAAATATTTGTTCATGTGTTTTGGAAAATTCCTCAATCTTTTGGAGAAGTTTTTCAGGTGAGAAGAAAGAACACAGAAAATAGCTTTTACCACACTATTAATTAGTGGGCAAAGAAAGCTTTAGTTCTATAAAATCTCTACAGATTTAAATTAATCCTTTAGTAATGACTACAAAATACGTTTCAATTTTACTTTAATGAAGAATAAGACCTAAGACTGAACAAGTGACAATGAATTGATAGGCAGGGTCAAAAAAAAAAAAAAAAAAAAAAAGAGAGAGAGAGAGAACGAAGTGCAATATAGTGGTTAAATGTTGAAGCGACACTGGCAAGGTCTAGGTCCACTCTGACTTATGGAAACTCACTCGGTGATTTTTGGCCATGTGCTATCTCTAAATCCAACCCATTGAGAAGGTGGTGATTGTGGGGAAAAAATAAGAGAAAAGAATACTGTATGCAATATCTTGAGCTGCTGAGTGAAAGGAGGAATAAAGTAAGTGGATATGAGAAGTGGGGTGTAGCTGAGAGAACACTGACCCAAAAATTTGGAAGAAAAATTGTGCAAATTCCACATGTACTATTTAGTGTTTTCTAAAGGAAAAAAAAAGCACCTTAGTGCCAAAATAAGCAAGAAAAATTATCACAATTTTTGCCAAATGCTTAACTTCTTGGTCCAGTGGAAGATTTCTACATAAATACATTGTAGAAATTATGCAACAAAAAGAATCATATATCAATAATCCAGGAAGGAAGAAAATAGACATCTGCCTGCAATATTACTGACTTCATTCTGTCTGCATTGTATTTCCTGTGGAAGCTTTCACAAGGATTTTGCTTAGAATAATAATATGACTCGTTTATGAACTGTACTGAGGGCTGTCTCTAAAGAGACATTATTAAGGGCGCTTGAGCAATAAAGTCAAAGTTAAATCAACTAAAAAGGTTTTTTTTAAAAAAAATAAACCAAATTATACAAACCATGATGGATTAGGATTGGTGTGTGTGTGTGTGTGTGTGTGTGTGTGTGTGTTTGTATCTTTGTGTTAATATTGACACCTGGCAGCCACCTGCATTAGTCCTTGCAGATCTCTTGACAAGATTTGAATGTTTGCCATTGCCTTCTTCCTAGGACTATGAGAATGATTGGCTCAAGATTACCCTGCTAGGTTCATGCCTAAATCAAAAGTTATAATTTCGTGGCTTCTAGCCTGGTGCCTTAAATCACTACACCAGACTAGCTCTTCTGTATATGTTTTCAAATTTATTACAGTTATAAACCAGCATGAATGTATTTTTAATTTTTCTTAATTTTTCTGAAAATAGGAAATACACCCCCACCAAATGTTAAGTCATTAGATTCCAACTAGTCAAACATTTAATTTGGTTTTAGTAATTTACTAGTTTCTAATGTCAAGTACTTTCAACATATGAAAGTGACCCAGAATGCTTTATTGTTTAATAACTGATCAGTGAGGTTTTTTTAAAAAAGATGTCAAGTGGTTTCCAGCAGTGGTGAAATCCTCCACAGGTTGCCACCGGTTTGCTGCCCGCGCACTGCTGTGTGCGCCAAACGCACGCTTCGCATGGAAAAAGGAACCGTTTGAAGTTAAGTAGAACAGCGAGGGGGGGAACAGCTGTGCGGCATGATTTAGATTTGCTAGAAAGCAGGATATAAGCGAATATAAATTGCGTGGCACAGCTGATCATCGGAAATACCGGTTTGGATGAACTGGTAGCTTTTTTTTTACTGAACCGGTGCGAACCGGTAGCATTTCACCCCTGGTTTCCAGGCTCCCTCAACTGCTTATGTTGTAAAATTATCTCTGAATATATCCTCCTAAGCTCACCAACTGTATGAACATAACATTATCAAAACTTACTGGATAATGATGTCGTAAATGGAAAGTATGAGGCGATACTACAGCTACAGCAAAGAAACGAAGGAACACAAAGCTGCTCACTGCAGAATACTGTACATGAGGGTCATCTGCAGAGAAAAACCATGAAATGTACAACTTAGCAGGAAATGGGTGAAATAAGATAGTGAAAAACCTTAGTAGGGTGTCAGTAGAAAAAAATGGTTACTATTCTTCTGCAAAATAGAGAAATAGCAAGTAGTGTGAAATGAAAATGAAGTTATGATGAAAGATGCATGGCCCTGTGTTATTGGGCATGTATCAGAATTGTTAACAGTTTATTTGATGTTACCTGCTAGTTATAGTAAACTAAGGATTGTGCCCCTTTCTCTTCTCTGTCACAGGTGTGAATGAAATTGTAGGTTTCCACTTCTGTATTTACTTAATAGTAGGTTCTATTGTTATGATTAATCTTAACTATGCAAAGGAAGATACTTCCAAAGATACATTTTTAAATTTGATAAGTTTCCATAAAACACAGTTAATATTAACAAAAATATGTAGTGCAATCAGTTTCCTGCCTGTTTCCTCTTACTTTAGAAATAAAGGTAGAGATGAATTTATGACTGTTACTTTCTATAGGGAAAAAATGTAAATTATTTTTCTGTAAAATAGCAGGAAGAGGCAACTTATTAAGAAATTTTAATTTATAACTCCTCAGCCTCATTCTATCACTGGATATGCAGACTGAGGCTGAGGAGTTATAAATTAAAATTTCTTAATAAGTTGCCTCTTCCTGCTATTTTACAGAAAAATAATTTACATTTTATAATAATAATAATAATAATAATAATAATAATAATAATAATAATAATAATAATAATTTACATTATATATTATAGTAGTTGTAGTCCAAAGCCACTGCTGCCTATCCCTTTAGTACAGTATTAGTGTGGAGCATAAGTATGATTGCTTGCTGTTAGCAGCAGTATATCAACAGAAGGCAGGCAGTGTCTACAACTGGTATATTAATAATTTGTATTTCCCTCTTTTTATAACTGCTATAGAACTGATTTTTGGTAACATTCTCATGGACATAGACCCTTTATTCAAGCCATAGATCATACTGTCATTTTGAGACATTGATGCACTTACTAGGAAATCTTTCAGCAGCCAAGCGCCTCAGAGAACACAACACATCACACATTAAAGTTGGGCAACTTATACTTGATTGTACAATTGTACTGAAAACTTTGTCAACATAATAACGAAGATTTTCCTGTGCAGACAAATAATTTCAGAAAGTTAAAAATTTTTATTTTAAGTGTTTACCAAGTTCATTTTATCAATGAGAAAAACCTATTCAACAAAATATGTATGCATCGTTACCATCCTATCATTTAGTGGCAGTTTTTTAAAGAACAAAATGCATACCAATAGTCTAAAAAGGGCCACCAAAAATTCTTTCTCTTTCTTTCCCACACACAGTCACTTTTTCATCCTGTCCTTGGTGGTGACTGGGGCAAGGTTCTGTGATGCTATCTGGGATTCCTCCTGGTTTGTGACCTTGAAGGAAGTTAAGACATTCTATGCTGTTGTCTGCCACCTGAATCTGGGAGATTGTCAGCAGCTCTTTGTAGGGAGGGAATTCCTTGAAGTCTTGCTAAATACTGTGGGGTGCTCCCTTCTGAAAAGGCTGGTCGTGGAATCAGGGGTCTTGGCCAACTACCATCTGGTTTCCATCATTTCCTCATTGTTGTTGAGACAATGGTGATGGACCAGTTTCATAGAGCCCTAGATGAAACAATTATCTGGACCCTTTTCAGTTAGGATTAGGCCTGGACAAGGGAGAGAAAAAACATTGGTTCTCCTATTGCATGACCTGGTTTGGGACTCTAAGGAGGGATAGTGCATCTTTCCTGGTTGTCTCAGACCTTCTGTTGGCTTTGGTACTACCAACCATGGAATCTTACTGGATTGCCTATGGGGGTTGAGAACTGGAGGCATTGTTTTGCAATAGTTCCACTCCTTCCTCAGTTGTCAGTTCCAGGCGGCAGGAGCTTGACCTGATAGCCTGTGATATGTGAAGTGTCACAGGAGTTGTTCCTCTCTGCCTTGCTTCTTAACATTTACATGAAGTCAATAATGAGGTCATCTAATGGCCCAGTTGTATAATCAATATGCTGATGACATTCAACTTTACATTGCCATCTTGAGCTATAGGGGAGATGTTGCTGATATTCTCGCTTGGTTCCTAAAGACTGTTCAGTATCTGAACTAGAGAAAACAGAGTGAAACTGAACCCAAGTAAGATAAGAATTACTGTTTGTACAAGAATCTTCTGTTGATACCAGTATAGATAAGCATTTCCCACAAGAAGGCAGGTTTGCAATGGGAAAAAGGGCTTCTAAACCCATAGATCCTTCTAGAACATGGTTAGAGACTACTGTCCATATGTGGCTGGTGTGCCAACTGCAACTTGACCTCATGCAGAAAAACCTTGTATGATAACTCATGCCCTCATTTTCATGTGTGTGGATTATTGTAAACTAGTTGGAAGCTGCATTGGTCCAAAATGTGGTGGCCTGCATACCCATCAGTTCTTGGTGATGGACCCTAATGCTCCAATTTAATGGGCTCTGCATTGGCTGCTGACAGGTTTTAAGGTACAATTTAAAGTACTGGTGTGGACTATAATGATAACGTTTGATTTAAATTGTGTCAAGTATATATAAAATACTGTATTTTGTTCTACAGTTATTTTTAATTATACCCAGTAATTACAGTGAAGTTGACACAATGAAGCTGAAGATCAGAAATGCAGTAGGCAAGATCATAAGAGAAAGGAAAGGTGTTCAGATATAATATACTTTCTTGCTCCAAAAATTATTGTTGACTTTTACATTCCAGAAAATGCTTGGTTGTTAGAAGTTCCATAAATATAAACTTTTTTTAAAAAAACCACGTAACATTTTAGCATACCTTGTGCATTTCCACATTATCTCCTTCTTTCAGTTTCAGGGGATCAATTTCACAAGGTTTAGGATTCTCACATATCTGAAACAAGATTAAAATTTGCAGCACAATTATAATATACCTGTCTACTTAGAAGCGAGTTCAGTGAGATTTATTCTTAGGTTAAAATAATGAAAGTTTTATCAATTATAAAATAATATAATACAATAACTATGTTCTCTCTTGGTTCAGATATTAAAAATAGGTTGCTAACCTATAACAATGATTCTTCAAGGTACATGTGATTTTTACAATGAAAATGTTGTAGAGCAATTTGTGTGGAAAATTTTACCTATGCAGTACATGCAAAGTTGACCATTTGAAGGACTATAGGGAAAAAACTGCTTTTTTAACATGCATCACCTATATGTATAACTAGGAAACAATATGCTTTCTTGTTAAAGTGATACGGCTCTGGCTTGCAGCTAGTAATGCTAGATGATATTCAGCAAGAAAAGTCAGAATGCAGTCACAAGAACACCAGCAATCTTTGCTGAATGAGCCTAAGCTGTTCTGGGAAAATGAAGCTACACACACAATAAATGATGTTGTGTTATTTATCCCATACAATTGTATGTAGCTGCTACAATGAAAAAGGTGCCGTAACCCTTTTTGTGATAACCAGGAGTCAGAGAAATGGGAGCCAAGAACATATGGATTGCCAAGCTGTATGGAGTGAAATTATATATCCTCCCTGCCAGTACTCCAAGCCCATAATAAACATTGCATCTTTTCTATTTCCATTGTGATATGCACAAACTAATGGATATAGTAATTTCCAAAAATGTTATATTTATGTTTAATGCTACATCCTAGGATGTGTTTCCCATTTTTAAAATAGTTTTGAAATCTAATTTCCACTACACCTTGGAATTCTGACCACTGAAACAAAGTAGCAAGGATAAACATTTTTTCTGTTTGCATACTGAAAATTCAATTTCAAATCTATGTCTTGCCAAGCAGATGTATGCTACTGAAAAGGGAAGATGATGATGGATGTAAAACTATTGCACATTCAAGTCTAATATGAGGTGCTCGGCCTTTGGTAAGCTGTTCACACAATATATTAATATTGTGTGGTGAACATATTAAACAAATGGATTAAACAATTTGCAACCTAATATTTTGCAAAGTGATTGGACTTTTATGTAGCGTATTGGATTTGTCTTGCAGACTGGCATGATAAGAACTGGAATAGTTCATCTAGTCTCAAGAAAGCAATACAGACATTTTAGACCTGGCACAAAGCTGAAAACAAATGATATTTGTTGTAGTAGCATGAAATTTTAGGCAGTAGGGATTTTTCTATTATTCCCAATATATAGCATTTTAACAGCATTTTAACATACATTTATCATACCTCATCTAGAATTGGTTTTAAAGTAACTTTCAAGTAGTGCTTTCCCACTATTTTCATCATCTCATCTACACATCGAGTAGTTAAAGAGTTTCCTCTGAAGATTGTATTTACTTCTCTGTAATACAATTCAAATTAGAAATTCAAGGCTATATGCATATACACATATCCTCAAACACACATGCAGATACAAGATGACCAAAGTTCTCTGCTGCAGAGTTTCTAGCTCATATAGTCTACAACAATGCAAAATGTTAAAATATCTTTAATATTATGAATATATATCTGGATACATATTATCAATAGATACCAATGTCTTCTAGGTTGCCTTAATAGTAGGTATAATCAATATTATACAAACATTTATTAAGATACAAAAGGCATAATTTAACTGACACTTCTTCCCAAACACTCAATCAGAATAGACACTGTCTTCAAAAATGCATGTAAGGATTTCAATTTCTTTCCAGAGATACAACATCATCATATAACAGAATAAATTCTTTCATCTTTCTTTGGTTCTATATAATCTTGATATTGCTATGCCATTTCTGTTTTTTAAAATCAAATCATTAACAAATTCTAGAAAAATGAGAGAATATGCACATTTTAAAACCATTAATAAAATCAATTCATGCTCAGCTGGCCTTTGACCAGGAATGAGGAAGAAACCTTGGGCTGAATCAAACTAATCTTTAATGCAGTGTTTCATTGGTGAGGGGGCACAGCATAATTGCAAGGATTTCCTCTTTAATAAATATAAGAAAGATAAACTGTGGAAGACCTTATATATTTTTCTCCAGGATTAGAAAATCACAAGATTTCCCCAGAATTTAAAAATAGTATATGTCAAGGCTGCTGTAAATTATCTATTTTCTAACAAACTCAAGCAACTATTACATATTCATTTCAAAAGATTCAGAATCACTTAGTCCTAAGAAGCAGAAAACTTGTAATATTTACTGACAAAAATAATTTCATTGAAAATGTATGTGACAAGTTTACTCATTTATCTTTGTCATAGACATAGCTATTGGAGAGAATGGAAAAAGTCAATCACTTACTGGGTTTCCTTCAGTTCTAATTCTGCCACTGCAGTAATGAACTGCACTAATTTATGATGATGCAGCAACAACCTTACAAGTGGCAAAATACCATCATATTTATCACGACACACTTCGGCCAAAATGTAAGCAGCTGATGCAGAAATTGGCTATAAAAAGGGAGAAATGGGATGAATGTACATAATTCCTCACATTGAAACATGCAGGGAAACATTAATAAGAATAATAGTAATTTTTCAGGTAAATCTTAGCCTAAGTTAAAAAAAGCCTATGTAAAATAACAATTTTCTTCCAATTTCAAGAATTACAGTTACTTTTTTGCCACCTGATTAGAAGAAAACCTTCTATATTCTTTTTGCCTTTCATTTGACAGAAGAGCAAAAAAAATCTCAAAATTACTGTTTTATGTTCATATTTAAATTTTTAATATCAGATGGAGCACCCAACTGCCAAAGAAACTTTAAATAAAAGCAAGTTCTTTGTTTGTTCAGGCTATCCAAAACTGACAGAGCATTTCTAGCAACCAAATAAACTGTTCTCAAAATTAATCAGCAAATTAGGCCTGGGAAGGTGGTTAAGAGTACAAATTGAAATGATTTACCTTTCAAAAGTACACCTTGCCATTTGAACTCTTATTTCAAAAGAAGTAAAAAAAAAGATTTAGGGAAATTTGAAAAGGAAGAGTAGATAACAGCTTGCCTTTTAGAGGATCTTTACCCATCTTTAAGCCAACTCAAATAGAGTCCAAATTTAGTCCACTAAATTATGGCAGTATTTTTGACTTTATGACAGTATCTTTGACTATAACAGGGAATTAAATCAAAGCATTTGCCGGCAGTTTTACAGAATGCACTCTCATAATAGTTGTTATGAGTCTGGCCTCCACAAAACACTCATTTCATAGAGGGGAAAGAGGTCTGAAACAGACTTCACACGTTTATTACATATTCAATTCCATATTGAATTACATTATCAAATTTTGTATTATGTACATCAAAAGGGATAAGGGGAAGTATGAATAATATAAATATATAGCAAGTTAAAAATGCGAGTTAAATAAAATGAGATATAATTCTGTGCCAAATTCAGGAAAATTCAATGTACAAATACAGTGTAAAACCTGGACCAAGAACTGAGATGGTTCTGTTATCAGTCTCATATGTATTCTACCAGATTTTTGCTACAATAGAAGTTAAGTCTGATTCCTAGCTACATGACAGAATATTTGTTCTTGCCTAAAAAAAGGATGTATTGAATCAAATCTATACAATATGCATACTTCTCAATATTGAATAGATGAACAATAGCAGCTTTTAAAATTCTTTATAATGAGGAAAATTCTTTAAGCACACTTTTTGTAGAGAACTTTTGTATAGTTCAAGTGTTTGTTTTCTGAATGGCAAACTCTTGACATTCATTGCAAATAGCATCTAAAATTCTACCTTTTCATAGAGTATAAGAAGTTGTTTTTAAAAGTTAACCATTTTAGGGGCTGTACAATACTGTATTATACATATTGTGTTTTGAATTCTGAACAGAAATCTAATGTAAAATTTAATCTCCTTTTGAAAGGAGAACTTGTACCACTTCCCAGAAATCCGGCACAGAAGGAGTGCGCTAATGGCAGAGCATTAGCTGATTAAATTGAAAAATGGAAAATACCTCCACTTCTGATGATTTCAGAAGCAAGTCTCTAAGAGACCCATAGTACCCAGATGGAAGTACATAATCTTCAGCATAATTTATATTGAGTCTAAGGGATCCATGATCTTCACTTTTAGCAGATTTATTTCCATTATCTTTTGGCTGTAGGAGGTACCTTAAAAAGAAGAAATTATAAGGCTTAAGATATTATCTAAATGACAGGCTGAGCAAACTGTAGTTTTAAGTAATTAAGTCAGAATAAACAGAAAATGAAAAAGCAATAGGATCTTTCTCCCTTCCCTTTTGTAGTTTTGCGAATTTTTGTATTTTTGTACATATAAAACAGGGCAGTTTTATATGCAATTTTACTAAAACTTTAAATAATATTGGGATCTAGGGCTACCCTATACACATTATGTCCACATTTTGAACAGTTCTGAACTATCAATCACAATCTGACCTTTCCTGTCTTTGATTGCATTTAAGATTAACTGTTTGCTTATTTCACTGCAAACAATAATACTTAAATTTTTTTTGTTGATTTCAATGAAAATGTAGAAAAGATTCACTTGGACTAGTCAGTAAAGATAGGGAAAGTAGAAGAAGCTATGCTAGTTTAATAATGTAAACCTATTCTTCATTTTACCAATATGACAACTTTGTGCTCAGTTCCTTACCATGCTTGGAAAGTATCACTTCCTAATGCTTTGACAGGAATCTTAATTTCTCCTAGAAAAAGATCTTGCACCAAGTTGCCATTGTTCCATAAGTCAATCCTGAAAGTTAAATCTTAGTTTTAATAACTGATTTGTTAGCCGTCATAACATATTTAATTTTTAAGTGGTCATCTGATTTAAAATGATCACACAGAATAGCACACCAACTCCACATGCACAAAAGTAAGGTTATTATCTCTCATCTAATAGTTTGTCTGAGTTAAGAAGAAAAGTGTATCTTAGTTCCATAGAAAGCAATTGTGAGAATCTGCCTACTGGTACTAGTTAAATCTGAAGCGTTATCAGTAAGAAAAAAGCAATGGTGCTGAGGTATTCAAAGAAAAAAAGTATACTTTCTTCTCAGGCATTTACTATTCTTGTTTTATTTTTCTTAATCACATTTAGTCTTTATTTTGATTAAACTGTAGCACTCCAATGACACATGCATTATGTATTCTTTAAAATTACTTTTTCGCCAAGGCAATTCAAATATTCATAACTTAAAAGCATATACACACACTGTATTTGGGTTGCTGAGTCTTACCTCATCAATATTTCTGTTAAACAGCACATATATTAAGAGAAAAAAAATCCATTGTGTTGTGAGACTTGTGAAGATATTGTAGCAGGTTCTGTTGCCTCCCTAAATGTTATACCTACTGTGACATTAATTCAGATGTTCTAACTTACCCTACAGAAAATGTTTAGTTGAAGTCAGATTAAGAAATAATATATTCTTTTCTTCAAAATATTTCAATTATAATTTCCTTCTCAAAATGTATTGCATTGAGAGGTGTATATATACATTTGTCCACTTGTTTCATAGTAAGAAATGTGTAAGTCACAAGCCAGTTAAAATGTCTGAACAGTTATCTAGATGTACTTTAAAATCAATAGCACTAACCGTAATATGATTTACTTATTAGCCACAGATGCTTGTTAAACACAATTAGAATAAATGCTGTAAGTAATATGCTTTGACTTAATAAATTGCTTTTCTGAATATGCTTCAACTGCTGTTTTTGAAGGCATGTTTTTTTCAAGGCCAGATTTAAACTGAACCTTATCCCAAACTTAATTATCTCAATCATTTTCAGCAATTACAGAGCAACTTTTTAAAAAATTTTATTATAAGAAGCATTGTCTGTTTTGATTGCCATATCTAAATTAATCTTAATATGTTGAAGAATATACCTGACTTCCAGTTTCTCAATGTCTTCTTCTTCTACCTGAAATTGTGACTTCTTGGTGTAACTACTGGACCTAGTTACCTGAAAATAAAACTTACAAAATTAATTTGTTTCTCTTTTAGCAGTACCCATTTAATTCAGTCTAATAGCTATGCCTTTCTAACATTGTTTGTTACTAGAAAATTTTAAGTAAAAACACATACATCTTGAAATGTAAGGAAGAGTATTACAGTAAATATGTTTGCAATGTATCAATGATAACAGTCACTATTATAAGATAGTCAGCTCTAAAAAGCATTTTAATAATCTATATAAAACATAAGAAAACCATGCTTTGTTTTACTCAATTGAAGCTCAAGGCCCATGTTTTGATACCATGAAAAATTTAGTTAATTAACCCTTGATTTTTAAAGTGTTTTAAAAATATTCCTACAGTATTGATAGCAGTTCTTATTCTGAACTGGTACAAAGTCTTGGATTAAGTTCCCGGTTCGGATGTTAGTGAAAACAATCACAGGTAGTATTCTTCCAGGAAGAACATAATAAATTTTAAAAGAGAAAATAGAGAAGTTGCCACAAAAATGTTATTTAATGACTGTCTTGCAATTTAGTATATAAGCACCAAAAATAATCTCTCATATACCCTTTTCAACACTTTTAAAATATTCCAGAACTTTCATGTTAAAGTGAAAGGAGCTAAAAGAAGAAAAAGGCTGGTACTTATGTTTCTATATAGTAGCTATCATATCAACAGTAATAATCAACATTCATACTTTTCTATTAATAATTCTAGGCCAACATCATTATTGAAACATCCTGAGATAAAATGCTAGAATCCAATGTGTATATATATTTCCCCATTCACCGCTATGTAACTGAAACAACTTTTGGTGCTAGGTAAGGCATATAAAAACCTAGTTCTCAACTTAGGACCATTCATTTAATGATGGTTCACAGTTACAACAGCTTGGGAAAAAGTGACTTATGACCTATACTCAGATAAACATTGCAGCACCTTTGAGTCACATGGTCACAATTCAACTTCGCAATGGGCTCATTTACAACCAGTTGCAATGTCCGCAGCCGATGTGAGGGCTCAATTTTTGTCATTAGAATCTTTTTTACATATAGACTGTTCATCACAACCTTTCTCCTATTTTTTTCATGATTTTCTACCCAAGAAAATATGAAAGTACCACTGCACCCTGATCCCAAAATTTTACAAACTGATTCATAATTACCATTTAAATGGCTAACAAAAAAAGCAGTACAGAATATTGATAAAAAATTAGTTACCTCAAAATAAAATGTTTCATTAAATTGTGGATTGCTTGTTTTCTTTTTTACCTTTGTCTTCTTTTGATCGTTCCTGTTCCAACATAATACAGCATTATTATACAGGTCTTAAAATATATTATTGTAATTCATAGGATTAATCTATGTGAGTAAGCATTTATTTTTTAGTTTAAAATTAAAAGAAAGACTTTTTAAAAATTATCCAAGTACATCACTGATTCCTTGAAATTGTATAGTCCCATTAAAAATTTAAAAAATATTAAGTACTTAGGTTAATACTTGGGTGTGAAAATATATATAAACAAACTATACACAGTTTGTATTCAATACATTGAAAGATTTTGGCCATTAGGGATTTATAAACCTATTACAATTTGATTATGTGGGATACTTATTAGAAAAAAAACTAAGCACAAAATTTCAAGGAAATTTAGAATTACAGAGTTTATATAATCATTTATAAATGAAATGTTATTTATCTATTGCAGTCTGAAACAGATTAAGAATGAATTACAGAATGAATTCAGTTTTTTACGTTTACATTAGCATTTTATAAACTCTTTATCTACCTTTGCTTTCATAAATTCATATGATTTTGTACAGAGACACAATAGTCTTTTATTAGGTATTTTCTTCAAGCAGGGAATCAATGACTGAGGGGAAAGTAGAGCCAGACTAGTCTTTCTTCTCGTAACCTAAATATCAATGTGAGCAGGGAGGGAATCTTTACACGCCATACTGAATAAAGAGAAAGTAGTGCACACCACAATTTTTTGGAGGAACAACAAAGTGATTATAATGAATAAAAATATTGTAGAGACAGCAGTAAATTAGCATTCTTTAATACACAATTTTCTAGTTTAGCCAACTGCATATTCTGAATTCCACATGAATGGTGTGGATAATACTGCTGTTATGGGGATGCAACTAATGTGTGCCTTTATAGGATCTATATTCCACATTTTTTCAGAAGCTCAAATAGTGTACATATACATTTCTTCCCCAACAGAAATCCAGTATGTAAATTGGGATAAGAGCAGTGAGTTGTCCACAGACAGCATATCAGCTTCCATATCCAAAAGCAGAGTTGAGGCCAAAGTTCCCAACTCTAGACTGTAGTTTATGTCCTCCTACCAACAGTCGGTGTTGGTAGGAGGACAGAAGTTGACCCCTAGGCCCCTCGTTTGCGGAGTGCCTCAGGGCTCAGTCCTCTCTCCCCTCCTATTTAACATCTACATGAAGCCGCTGGGTGAGATCATCCGACGACACAGGGTGAGGTATCAGCAATACGCGGATGATACCCAGCTCTATATCTCTACCCCGCGTCAATTCAGTGATGCGGTGGATGTGATGTGCCGGTGCCTGGAGGCTGTGAGGGTCTGGATGGGAGTCAACAGGCTCAGACTTAACCCAAGACCGAGTGGCTGTGGGTATTGCCTCCTAAAGACTATGTCGATTGTCCATCCTTGGTTCTGGGGGTGGGGGGGGGGAACTGTCCCCCTCAGAACGGGCTTGCAATTTGGGTGTCCTCCTAGACTCACAGCTAAGATTAGAGCAACATCTGACAGTTGTGACTAGGGGGACCTTTGCACAGGTTCGCCTGGTGCACCAATTGCGACCCTACTTGGATCAGGAGGCTCTCCTCACAGTCACTCATGCCCTTGTCACCTCACGGTTAGATTATTGCAATGCGCTCTACATGGCGTTCTACATGGGGCTCCGAACACTTGAAAAGTGTTCGGAGACTACAGTTGGTCCAGAACGCAGCCACACGAGCTGTTGTGGGTGCACCTAGTTACACACACATTACACCAATTCTCCGTGAGCTGCACTGGCTCCCTATTGGTCTCTGGTCACAATTCAAGGTGTTGGTTATTACCTTTAAAGCCCTACATGGCTCAGGGCCAGGTTATCTTCGAGACCGTCTTCTGCCACATAGCTCCCAGCGACCGAAGATCCCACAGAGTTGGTCTCCTCCGGGTCCCGTCAGCTAAACAATGCCGGCTGGCGGGCCCGCGGGGGAGGGCCTTCTCTGTGGCTGCCCCAGCTCTCTGGAACCAGTTACTTCCTGAGGTCCGGACCATCCCCACCCTATTGGCCTTCCGAAAAGCGGTGATCACCTGGCTTTTCCGGCAGGCCTGGGGCCGTTGATCTCGCTCTTATGATCTGGAGAGATCCGGCCATGAATGGTGTGAATGAGTTTTTAATGTTTTTAATGTTTTTAATTTTTCAATGTTTTTTTATAATGATTTTTTAAAATGTATTGTGAGCCGCCCTGAGTCTTCGGAGAGGGGCGGCATATAAATTAAATTAAATTAAATCCATTGGCTTTACAGTGACATGGCTGGTCAAAAAAAACCCTATTATATGAGGCACAGTGCCTACAAAAAGCCAAGGAGAGTCTACAGGGACAATATTATCCCAGAGCATTATATTAAGAACTTGAAATTTAATTCAGATTATTTTTATGCATAATATGCATACTAACACTTTTTAAAAACATGCCTCTATATTGTCTTATATGGAGCATTCACCATATGCAGAACTATAATTGTTTAATCTATCATATAAAACTATTTAAAAATGTGCATTAACCCTGTATATTTTGTTAATGAGACATTTATCAACTGAAAACTGGTGCACCAATATCAACCTAATTTTGTCAGCTTATGTACATTTTAAATTGTTATCTTGGCAACTTCAATACATTTTAATTAGTTACCTTGAAGGACCGACAACAGATACTGTAGCATAAGGGTCACAATTTTGCCCATTAATAAGAGGTAGTCCATGACATTCCTTTAACCTAGAATTAAAAAAGAAAAAGAAAAAAGGAAATTACTAGTACAGCTGCAGTTCATGTAAAGTATGTCACATCTGATAAGTGAAAAATAAATTGTGCTAATCCAACTGTTAGCTGGCATTGGACATATCTTATATTCTTCACACAGGCCAGCAACCATGTTTTCAGTTTTCATTGTCTTGTCAGTAACTTTTAACAAGATCTATTAATAATTCTAAATCATTAGATTTTTTTTATATACCTCCTCCAGGTCTTGAAAGAACAAATTGGGGGTGGGATGTGATATCACTCTTTAAAAACCTGAAAGACTCACACAGCAAGACTCTCTCATTCCAGAAACCAGGCAATGTTTTAACAGGTTTATGTTACAGAAGGTAGATTCCAATTTCATTTAGAAAGAACTCTCTAGTGGTAACTGGATTTCAACAATAGCAATAATTATTCAGAGAGATGGGCTACTGCAGTAAAAAGGTTAAAATACAATAATAGTATAATAAAATGAAATAACATAACATTATTAAAACATTAAGAACAATTTAGTTTGAGAACAAAACTTCCAACCACAAGTCAGGATGGGAGTTCAACCTCTCCTAGATCTCCTCCTAAGGCTTCCTTTAAAAGGCAGGTTTTCCTGCTATGTAACAGGGCTCATCTCAAGTGGCATATTTATGTAGAACTAGTACTGCTAGAAGGAATTTATTCCTTGATATGCTTAAGAAACACAGAGAAAGAATTTATGGGAAATTTGTTGCTGGATCTTCTGAAATTCTGAGCCAATACAGATGTGGTACATATAGAATTACAAGATAATTTCTACTGGGTTAAAAATACAGTGAAAAAAGTATGTTTAACAATATGAATAAAAACCATCTGTCTCCATGAGACAAGGCATCTCCATAAACTGATGAAATCCAGTTATATCTCTGTCCCAAATGAAGTGTGTTGCAGTAGACATCCTTTTGTGATGTCTGGAGGCTGTAGGGGTCTGGATGAGGAACAGACTTCAGCTGAACCCCAATAAAATGGGCCCACCCATTGCTTCTGTATCGTCCATGTCTTTTATATTATAGATTATATGGTGTTTTTAATACTGTAGATTATATACTAATTAATGTATGGATTGTTCAAGAATAAAATAACATTTGAAATTCTGAAAAGTAAGAATTTCAGAAACCTTAAGTTACATTTTCCTTGTCAATGATCAGTTCTGAGCATGTAATCATTTATTTGATAGCTATCTGACTGATATTGGCTCAGAACCAAGGTTTTAATACCTCCTGCTATACCTGAAAGAAAAACTGCATGTACGCTTGTCAAGATCTACCATGTCATCTATCAAAATAAAATCTTGGTAATGTTTATCTTTTTGTGCCTTCCTACACATTTAAGTGTTTTGTTTACTTTTAATTAGATACAAGTTTAGATTTCCTTAAATACATAAAAAAAAAACCCTCAAATATTACTGGGTCCAGTATGCACATATCCTGTCAGTTACATGAAATTTTATAACATGCTCAAACACTGGGACCTTAAAGTTTGGGTATACAAGGCTTGCTTTAACTGTATCTTCTCTTCCTCATCCCCCAAATATGAAATTTGCAGTTGGAAAAAGTAAATGAAAACTGATAGATCTCATGTTAGATACCAGAATTCTTTCAAAAAAAAAAAAAAAAAAAAAAAAGAAAAAAAAAAAAATTTTTTAAAAAAAAAAAAAAAAAAAAAAAGATGGGAAAAGTAATGTTTTCCCAAGTTCAGAAAATTGAATTATAAGTTTTTTTGGGAATGCAGTCATTATTAAATAAAAGTAAAATTCAAAGGTATTTACATTTGGAAATTTTTCTACTTAGTTATAATGATTCAGTAATAACATTTTAATCTACTTATTTAATTTCCATAAGCAAACATTTTTTTGAAAAAAAATCATGAATAGCCTTACTGTACTACTAGCTGCTGGCATACAGATCCATTATCTGTAATCAGTTCATTTAATTTTAATTCAAGATGTACTTTTCCCTGTCGATAAAGAGGAAAAACATTGAGTTGAGAGTCTATCAAATTATACTTATTGTGTTTCCAATACTGTTCTACATATTTTCAAAATGTTTTCCAAAAGTTACCATCAGATTATAAAAACATTAGCACAAAACTGAAAGCTCTTTTCATAAAGAATAAAACCCCAAATCTTACCTATTAACATCTTCTTCTGAAAATGTTGGATTTAAATTATTATTTACTGAATAAATTCCACCAGGATGCTAAATATTAAGCAATTAATATTAACAAACAATAGATATTGCTTCTACTTCCTCTAAGGAACAATTGATAACATGGAAGCTCATGATCTATGTTAGTAAAAACTGTCGAAGAGAACGTATGGTAGAATATTAATCCTAAATGGAGAATCATGAATTCAGGTAGTTCTTGTTTAGTGACTGTCTTATTTAGCAATTGTTGATGATGGTGATGATGTAAGTTTAGAGACTTTTTCAGGTCTCTATAGCAAAGCAAAGCTGGAGTAAGACAAAAGCACAGTTGTAGTTTCACTTAGCAACTGCTTCACTTAATGACTGAGTTGCTAGTCCCAACTGTGGTTGCAAATGAGAACTACCTGTATTTATCTTTCTGGGGCTTATTTTTCTCCTGAACTGATTCATATTGCTATAGAAACTAACAGCAATAACAATAGCACAGAACAGCCCAAAAACAATAACCCACCCTACAGTAATTACAGAAAGTGTTTAATATTTCAAGATATAGATTTATGAAAATCTTTAATTTAGCCAGTGTCAGATGTGCTAAGCACACTAGAGTTATAATCTGCCATTTGACTGCTTGCCTAATGATAGTTTGAATCAACAGCCTCCAAAAACACAGTTCTGATCTAAACTTGAATTTATGACCATCGCTCCCCCCCCCCCCCCCCCCCCCCCCATCATTACATACTGGCAATTTGAGTGCTTGACAACTGGCTCACATTTATGACCATTTTCAGTGTTCCATAGTTATGTGATCATGATTTATGTTTTTTTTTCTCTTTTTTAGCAAAAAGTGGCAAAAAACACCATTAGCTAAACTGGATCACACTTAACAACTGTGTGGTACAACTTCCAACCATGATAAACATGGTCATAAAATCAGGTCCATTCACATGATGACTCAATTTATGACCACAATGACTTAAAATAGAAATTCTGGTTCCAGTTGTGGTTGTATGTTGAGTACTATCTGTATTTTCAATCTGAAAAATTGTTATCTTCCCATAAAGAAATCACTGGAAATCAATTATTTCTTAGGTGGCTTATATTTGGAATTACTTGTATAAATGCTTTTCTTCTCATTTCTTTTATACAGTATTTTACTGTATTTTCCATAATCTCCAATCAGTGGTCAGTTCTAGATGACACCAGCTTGGAAAGGTTACAATTGCTTCATATTTCTTGTGTAAAAATGGCTCTGTGCATACATTCAAGCCCTGCTGTCTTAGTCATTTTATTTTCTAGATGTACCCACCCCCAGAGAAGACAGGTTTACAATTTAAGAAGCAATAAATACTTTTTTGCTAGAGCATGTCCAGCCTCCCACACATTAAATATCTCTAATACAGGTCCTTTGACTTAAGACCAGTTCGAATTGAGACCATAATTTCCATTGTTAAGACAGTTGTTAAGCGAGTCATACTCAATTTTACAACCTTTTTTGCCATGGTGGTTAAGCAAATCGCTTGCAGTTGTTAAGTTAATAACAGTTGTTAAAGGAATCTGGCTTTCCCCACCGACTTTGCTTGTCAGAAGCTAGCTGGGAAGGTTGCAAATAGCAATCATATGACCTGCAACTGTCATAAATGCATACCGATTGCCAACCATTTGAATTTTGATCTCATGACCATGGAGATGCTGCAACAGTTGTACTATATGCGCAAGTACCGGTTTTAAGTCAGCATTGTGACTTCCAGTGCCGTTGTAACTTCGAACAGTCACTAAACAAATGTTGTAGTCAAGGACTACCTGTATTAAGTGCTTTGTTTTCAAAGATGTTTTAGTTATTCAATCTGGGAAAATTAGTAAGTAACAAGTGTTTGAAATATGTCGTTACAAAAATACTGAGCTCATGAAATCAAAATAGATCCTCAGTACGTCTTTTTTTCCTGGCATTAGTTATTTTACTGCCCTATTGGCTGATTTAGCAGAGTAGATACTAAGAAGTAATTAGGTACATCAGCTGTGCATTCTGGTAGTGGCTAAGAATGGCTTATTTATTAGCCTCGCTTTCCCAAGAGAAACACACTTTTCAAACGTGTGGCAAAAATATGTGAACCTTTGCTAGTGTGGCCCCCATGAGCAGCATTAACTGCAATTAAATATTCCAATAAATGTTAACTCAGTCTCAACATTGGCTTGGAGGAATTTTAGTCCATTCTTTTTTACAGAACAAATTCAGCTCAGGGATGTTGGTGGGCTTCCTTGCTTCAAGTCCTTCCACACCATTTCTATAGGTAAGAATTTTGATTTGACCATCCCAAAACATTAAATTCCTTCTCCATTCTTTAGGTGTACGACTTGTGTGTTCTGGATAACTGTTTTGCTGAATGACCCACTTTTTCTTTTAAACTTATAGACAGATACCTTGACATTATTGTATACAATTTTCTGGTATAATTCAGAATGTATAGTTCTATCAATGATGGCAAGCCATCCTGATTCAGAAGCAGCAAAGCAGCCCCAAACCATTATACTGCCATTGCCATCTTGGATAGATGGCATAAAGTTTTTATGCTAGAATATAGTGCCTGTCTTTCGCCAAACATAATGCTTTTCATTCCAGCCAAAATCCCCTCCCCCAAACAAAAATCTGGCTTATCCACATAGTTTTTCACAAGCTGTAGATGGGTAGCTATGTACTTTTTGGAAAGTAATTGTTTTCTCCTTGCAACTCTGCTATGTATACCATTATTCCTCAGTATTTTACTATTGGGAGTTCTGATGAACTAGAGACTGCAGGAGACATTTCTAGTTCCTTAGACATTATCCTGATTTTCTTTGAGACCTCCCAGAGTATTACACATACTGCTTTTGGGATGATCTTGGATTGTCAGTTGCTCCTGGGAAGAGTAACAATGGTTTAGAACTGCCTCCATTTATATACAATCTACTTGATGGTGGACTGGCGGAATCCAAACTTTTTAGAAATAGTTCTGTATCTTTTCCAGCCTGATAAGCATCAACAATTAATTTTTAGAGGTTCTCAGAAATCTCCTTTCAAGACATGACACACTTCCACATACTTGCATCATGAAGATCAGACTTTGATAGCAAATACCCAGAATTCTGTTGTTTAAATAAGGCAGGACTTCACAGTCACACCTGATTATCATCTCACTGATGACATTGATAACGACCACTAATTTTCTCTTCAAATGATCTGATAATCCTAGAAGTTCACATACTTTTGTCACATACATTTTCCCCAAATGAATAAATGAACAAGTATAATGTTTTTGACTCGTTTAATTCTTTTTACCTAGTTCTAGGACTTGTGTGGAAAACAGATCACATTTAGGTTATAATTATGCAGAAATATAGCTAATACACCTGAATTTATAAACATGTAAACACCACTACACACACATGTAGACATGTACACATACATCAGCATTAGTTATCATGTTTATTTGATTTTACCTGAACTTCTGAGTTAGAATCAACTGGTTGAAGTACAAACCATGTTTCCTTGCCAGAATATATGCTCAAATCTTCTTTTTTGATAGCTATTTTACCTAAAAGAAAAATTGAATGGGCATATTAATTTAAAAATAAGTATTATGTTCATCTAACACAGGTCTAGAAAAGATCTGCATCAGAATACTCTGTATCCTAAAACACATTTTAAAAATACAACCTACCAGTACTTTGCATTCTAGCATTAGGAAAATATGATCATCATTGTTTGAAGATGAATGAGAAAAAAATTTCAGAATGTAATGTCTGGTTTTGCATGTTATCCCAGAACATCCTATTTAGAAGACTGATGATAGTTCAAATAGCAAGTATTAATTTAGTCATTTGGGATAGAAAATCACCTGAGCTTCACATCACGTAGAACAAATATTTTAAAGAATGAAATGCATGCCTTAATGATTAACAATTTCACATTTAATATAACAAAACAACACATTAGTATTAATAAGTCAATTGTTATTTCTTACCTATACGCAGGTCCCTCTGTAGAACATTTTTGTCATAAATATAGAATGATAAATACTGGAATATTCTTGGTATTTCAAAGTAAAACTCTTCTCCAAAAAATGGACTGTGAAAACAAATCAGCAAACTACCTGATTATTTTGCAACTTGTCTGCTTTATATTTGTAAGTTACAAATTTTAATAAAGAGATGCTCCTTCTGAACATAAAATAATTATTCTGCTAATTTTAGCATAGTCTTCCTAATTAACATTAGGATACATATTTTATTAAACAATAAATTACTCCTAAGAATCTTTCACTGTACTTGAAAATGCCATTCTCTATATAAAAACTCCAGAAACTTTTTGGAAACTGTCCACTATCAAGTTTTTATCTGTTTCCAGAATGTCTTAAGAATAGTGGCTATCCTTGATTTGTAAGGTAGATTATTCCTCAGGAGAGTATAAGGAACAAACAGAAAAAATAAAATCTTAATGCAAGAAAGGAAGTGTGATTCAGTAGACCCTACTGTAATTTGGTGAGATGAACCTCGCGCAACTTACTGAAATAGAATAGGCTAGAAAAAAAATGGGAGAAGGAACATTTTATGTGAAGGAAGTCCATATGTATAGGCATCCAAGAATCTGAGCACAAAGGTCTAATTTAGAGAGATTGTCTAAGAACACAGAGAAGGATAAACAGCAAAAAATATTATTTTGCTGACATGATACTGATTGAGCCAGGTCAGGTAGAAGATAGGGATAATGCTGTTCCAAGCTAGAATTCAGAACCTTCTAGAATTCAGAGGCATTAATAATGGAGACTTAAAATACCCACATTTCCACTGGAAAACCAACTTAGCTAATATTAATACAAGAGCCTTGGTAGTACAATGGTCTAAAGCACCCTGTTATTAATAACAGCTGCCTGCAATTACTGCAGGTTCGAATCTCGCCAAGGCTCAAGGTTGACTCAGCCTTCCATCCTTTCTAAGGTAGGTAAATTGAGGACCCAGTTGTGGGGGCAATAAGCTGACTTTGTATAAATATACAAAAGAATGAAGGCCATTGCTTAGCGCATTGTAAGCCGCCCTGAGTCTCCGGAGAAGGGCAGCATATAAATCAAATTAAATATATATATATATATATATTGCAAAGTCACAAAAATTCCTCTGTGGTCTTGCTTATGGCTTTTCCAGAAAGCTGAAAAAATATGAGAAGACTGGATGTTCCAATATGATCTAATCAATAAGGAGGTTTTCACTGAAGAGCTAAAAGCACTAGAAATCTTGGGAGGAAATTACCATATTATTGTGAATTTAAGATACTAGAATGGGAGCGTTAAATCTCATGCAGTCAGTGAGGGACAACATGATCACAAATCAGATAGTTTTCTAAACAAACAACAGAGCTTTTCCCTTCCCCAAACTGGGGCTAAGTAATCCTTGGAAGGTATGTGAAAGAATAAAATGCAAAAACGTCTGAAATCTATGAAAAGTGTTTGCAGTTGAAACACTGTCATCGCTGGAATTCTGTCATTATGGCTTTGTATTTTTTCCAAACAAAAAATCACTTTTCAGGAATGCTTGGATTTGAATTTGCCTAATTGGTTCCAGTCCTGCTTTGCTAGCAGTAGTCCAACATACAGAAAGAAAGAAAAAAAAAACCCGGAGATGGTTGTGCATACACATTAGATTTTAGGAGAGCAAATTTTAAGAAGTTTTGAAAAAAATGCTGAGTAGGTCATCTTGGACAGAAATCCTTGGGCCAAAGGAGATAGAAGAGGGTTGACAACTTCTCAAAAGGTACTTGTGGTGGACTGTAGTCTGGATTCCCGGGAGGAAGGGACTGCTTTCCAGAATGCAAAGAGACAATGGAGCTTGAAGTTTGGTCTGTAGGAATGAACTTTAAATGGTTGCTCCCTAGCAGTACACAGAATATATATATAGTATATACAGTTATTCAGATAGTCACTTTAGTTTGCAAGATTCTGTCTATAAGAACACTAAAGAAAACTACAGATGTAATTCTACATGTGTTCTTGGTTCTTGGCTTTGACAGTACTGAATGTACACTCACCCTCTATTTCAATGAAAATTTCAAAAAAAGTCACAGAAAAAATGTTGTGAAAGCATAAACAGCTTTCAGCTAAATCAGGGGTCAGCAACCTGCGGCTCTGGAGCCACATGTGGCTCTTTCACCCCTTTGCTGCGGCTACCTGTCACTCAAAATATGCGTCACAACTGCCAATGTGTGACACCTGCCGGCACACGATTTATTGAGCTTTTCAACCTCCGGTAGGCCAACCATGAATAAATCCATGAAAAGAAAAGTTTCAGAAGAAAACAAAATGTTTCATTCAACTACTTATGCAAGTTTTGTGGCCGCTCAAGAAATAGTCAGGCACGGGAAGGGTTTTGTGGCTCCCAGTGTTTTCTTTTCTGTGGGAAACAGGTCCAAATGGTTCTTTGAGTGTTTAAGGTTGCAGACCCCTGAGCTAAACTAAGAATCAAAAGGATTATTTAGGAAAATGAGAATAGATGCAATCACCAAGGAAACATACCAGCAAATAGCCAATAATTTTAGAAAGAATATTGGAATAGGATAAGGAACAAAAGAATTTTGAGGAACAAAAAGCCTTTTTAAATGACATCAGAAGTCAGAGGAGGAAGGAGGTATGAAGATGATTATAGGATGGAAACAGGGATGGGTAGAGGGCAAAATTTTTCTACTTTGCTTTTTTCTCATCTCCAAAGGGAAACCTCTTCAGATGGATGTAAGCAGAACTGTAATAAGAAAGGAGTTGCAATCCAAGATAATTAGTCATCAGTTATCAGATAAATTTTAGATTAATTACATCCTAAAATCTTGAAGGAACACATAACAGATTTTTTTTTCAAAATCCTTTTATGTTTGAGAAATCATGGATGGATGTTGGTATTGAAGGACTGAAGAAGGGGAAATGTTGTGTGTGTAATTATAGATGGGTCAGCAGTCAATTTTTGAGCAAACGTATTGTTTGGCAGGAGCTAGCATGGATTATTAAGAACTGGTCACGCCCAACCAAACTGTTATCCTTTTTAATAAATTGACCGGTTTGAGTATGTTGACTATAGTGTAACTTATAACTGAATATAGTGTAAAGAAAGCATTTGACAAGGTCTATGAAATCCCAGAAGAGAAGATCAGAAGACAAGTTGGACTGTGCTACTTCAGATGGATGGATACAAAACTTGTTGAACAACTCTACTTATTAAGTGCAGCTTTATGTCAAGCTGGAAAGAGGTAGTGATTGGCATAATTGGTGATTTTATTGTAAGCTACATAGAATCATTATTATGCCCCACTATACATATTTGGTCAACTCAAAGAAGCAAACATACCTAATACTTCTGCCTATTTACCCCAGAGGAACAGTCCTGAAAGGTGGGTTGGGTTGAGAAAGAGTGGTTGGTCTCAATCACCCAGGCAGCTTTCATGCCTAAGAAAGACCTAGAACTCCAGACTCCTTATTTCTAGGTCAGCATATTAACTACTATGCCAAACTAGCTTTATGTAAGATAAGATGGCTATATAAACTGAAAAATAAATCAGAGCTCCATTCTAAACTCTGTACTATATAATGCATTTTTATTTGATTGATGAGTGGTTAGATAATATGATCTAATTTACATATGACAAAGATTAGGGGGGATAATAAACACTGTATAGGACAGTCAAAATTCAGGAGGAATCTGACAGTTGGAACTACTGACTGAAAGCAACGAGACCACACTTAAGGAAAGACAAATATAATGTCCTTTATTTACATAGGAAACATTAAATGCATAAGTGTAGAGTGGGCAAGATCATACTGGGCAATAGAATATGCAAAAAGGATCTGAGTGTCTTACTGGGTCAGTAGGCTAAATTGACCAACTGTGTAAGGAAGAAGATTACACTGGATAACAAAGTTTTATCCAAGTTTTGCTTCCTGAAGCGATTATGATAGACCCCTTCAAACTGAACCCAAATATAATTTCAGAATTATTGCAGCACATAGGAATCTTGATAAATATGAAATTAACTTTTAATGATTTTTTTAATTGCATGTTTCTGATATCAAGCCAAAAGTGTTTTGCTGATTTTTGTTTGTACTCAGAGTCCAATGCATCTTGCTGTAGTATCCAGCAATAGTCCGCCAGCATTGATCGATTCAGTTTCCCTGATACTGTTTTTCCATTATGGCAATATTCTAGTTAGAGATGCTGAATATGTTTAGTATGAAGTAGAGATGCCTGTGGGAAGATAGGACAGCTGTTCTCAAATAACTGAAGCCTTGTTCTGTGCTGCACTAGTGGGCAAGATAAGAAATTATGTTTTTAAATTACAAAGAAGCAAGACTTCAACTGGACATCAAGAAAAAACATTTACATTAACAGATGTTTAGCAGTGGAACAGGCTTGCCGTAGGAAGTGGTTGACTCTTTTACTAGAATTATTAAATTGAGGCTTGATTGTCATCTTCCAGAGATGTGGACTAAGGAAGCTAGATGAGATTATTCTAACTCAAGGCTTCCTTCCAATCCATGATTTACTTCTAGAGTCTACCAAGCCAACTCTGATGACTTTATGGTCCAGGAAGAAATTGAGTTGTCCAAGACTGTTCCTGGACCAACAAATTTTGCACATTTCTATTCCTTCTGTATCCTCAGTTCCAATTAATAGAAACATAATACAATGCTCTGATGAACATCTACTACACTAAGTGATATATTTAGACAATCAACAATATATTAATACTATAGATAAATATAATGAATAAAATATCCCTTCAATTTTCTAACTTAACTAAGGTTTACTTTCTAACTAAGGCTTAGTTTTAGTAAAACTGCCAGTATGATTAGAAGCTCACCTTAAAGATTTTTCTACCACTTGAGTACGAAACACCTCTTCTTGATCCAAATTGATTGTACAAAAGCAGTCTCTCATTTTATTTGGTCCTGAATATGGCACTAAGTTTTTGGCTTGACCTAATGACAAAATGAAATATTTTTAATTCTGTGTAGAAGAAAATCATGGTACAATCAATTTACAAATGAAATGTTGAGATGCCTTTATTCTCATCAAGTTAAAAAAATAACAGCACACTGAAAATAGCCAGTAAACATTATTATTGTATGTATTGCTATAAATTAGTCTACCACAATTTTGGAGTTCCTGTGGTGAAACACAATTTCCATAAATCCCAGCCTGTATGATTAGGAAACACATATAAGAAAGTCACAAGATTGAGAAAAATGCAATCACATTATAGAACTCCATTTAATTTAGCCTACTATACATTATATTTTAATCTCATCCAAATCTCACCTAATTTTCATTCATACTTCAACTATTTTGAGAAGCAAACCTCTCAGAAATCTACTTCAAGGACAAGTGTACAGCCCCGTATTAAGACATCTACAAGTAAGGTAACCCTAGTTTCTTAGAGGTATTTAAGAAACTTAACCTATTATCTCAATAATCTTATTATCTAAAAAAAATTACAAAGACACTATACAAATACTAGGGATTTGTAGCGATCTGAATTCAACTTGGAAAAAAAAATAAATGAACATGCCGGTGAATTAATTAAGCAAATCATTTAAAAATGCTTCTTCTTGGTTTGTGTGGCCAGAAAAAGGCACGTTTGATAGTGAAGGCATCATATCTCATTTCTCCCTTCAAATCTAGATTGTTACACAACACTAACAAATATTAAATGGAGATAAAACAGAAAAAGAATACCTTTAAAAAAAATAATCATATTATTAGCATGCAAAGCATGTTGAAGTATAAATTCTTTGGTTATCCAATGTCAGACATGTATAAATATATTCCAAAGCCCCAAAACATACATATACATATATGAAATTAAATACTTCATTAGTTTTTATTAAATACATAAGCAGAGTGAAATGCAATAGTTCTAAAAAATGGTTTGTAAGAATTGGGATATGCTTTAATCTTATTCTTATTCCTTAAAACTAAATCTAGAATCTCAATGAAAAACTGATACAGCACAAATTTTGATTGGGATAAAAGTAAAATCAAATACCATTGGCTAGCCTGTATTTTGAAAGTGTAATATACACTGTAAATAGTAAAATGTTGAAAGCAGGCATGGTTTTAAACCAAATCTAGAACAGAAGACTATATTGCAAAATAAATTTTCATTGAAAATATTTTTCTTGCAATTATTTCAAATGCATGAGAAAGGAAATGGGTTACATTTGACTTACATGAAAGTACTTCAGTTCCTCCCATTTCAACAAAACCACTACATCCTGTTTGTTCCTGTTACCCTAAAATTGACTCATAACATATCACTTTTCTATTCCTTATATCTCAGACTATAATTTATATTTTCTACCCTCAAGATGTCCCTTTGCCAGCAACATTAACTTTCAATCCATTTTGATAGTGTTATATCATGTTTAATAATAATAATAATAATAAATATAACATTCTCCTCCCATACTGTGGTCATTTATAAAATTTCCTGATAAACTACATAAAAAGGTTTCTTGTCAAACAAGTCTCTTTTATCCAGAAGAACAATTTTTTTGAAATTAAAATCTATAAATGCTAACATTTTCATTAAAATGTCATGGTTACAGTTATAACTATTTAACATATTAAAATTATAATCAATACAAATGAATTTCCTAAACAAATATACTGTTATCTACCTATCAAACATAGGTATGCAATTCAATTTATTTTTCAGAATAAATTTCAGGCTAAGGGTAAGATGTTAGAGAAGCTCATTGTTATGAATTGATAAAAATCATTAGTCGAATCCTTTTCGACTATTGCACAGGCATTTAATTGGTCTCATTCCTTCACTCAGAGATCTTTCTCGATAGGCACAGAAAGAATATTTGCATGAATTTGTATTCTTTTCTCAAAGATTAAAAATATCTAAGAATTGGAGTGAAAACAGGAAAAGTGATACTTCTATTCCAAGCTATAAATTAAATTTGGAATGCGGAAGTAAAAATCCGATTTCTACAAAAGTTTCAGAAGATACATTTTGAACTATGATAATTAATTTATTAAGGACAATTTATTTAATTAATTTATTAAGAACATGTAATTGTACTGTAGATGTCATATACCAGTATGTCATTTTCAAATTTTGAATTGCACTGATGTTTTTCATTTATAGTTGTTCTAATAATTTCTAAGACATGGAGCTGCATTTCTATATATCTGTACATAAAGTTTCTTACACATAAAAATATGATTTAAACACTATTGTAGTGATGGCTACATCCATTCAATCAGATGTACACCATTTACCAAATACATGAAGACTTATCAATGGTAAGCTCAATTTAAATCAGTAGTTTCTCTTGGCATTTAATGTGTCATCAAGGATATCTTGTTATACTACTAGAAACGCAGTTGGTTTGCAAGTCTAGTTACAGCTTTACATCACATTCACTCTTTCATTTCTCTATCACATCCAGTTGTAATCTATTATAAAGATCAGGTGATAGCAATGGCATTAATATGTGGACTATAGGTGTCAAATATTGTTTTGATATGATACAACCTAGAGTGTTAATGTTATATAGGATTTGTTAGTAAGTATTCTTTGGTATGTTACTTTTAAGCCTTAAATGTTATTTTTAAGTCTGTCAAAATACAACTTGTTGTTCAATAGTCTTAACATAATTAACCCCTTGGAAACTTAATTATGAAGAGAAATGTCAAGGATTTGTCATATAAGCCTACCTTGCTGTAAAGCCAAATTAAACTTCACCTAAAACATTAAGTGTTACTACACAGAAGTTTCCACATAAAAAGTCAGAATTGGGAAACAACTATTAAATGTAACATGTAATAAAAGCTTTCAAGTAACAGAGTTAGCTTCAGGCAAGAGAAAAAGTGGACTGCCTTGCTTAACTTCTGCATCCCTTTTACCAAATAACTAGTCGTTCCAAAACTTACATAAATATCCCATTTACTTCACAATGCCAGTTTTTCCCACCCTGATGCTCTCAGATCCTAATGGATTACAAGCCTCCCGGTTCCCAGATAAAAAGTAATGTTATACCCACACATCATCTATCCCTGTGCAAAAAAAAAAAATCTTCCTTTTGGAAGTCCCTTCTATTTTTACTTCAACTCTCAACCTTCAGTCAGTCCTCTCTCTTTTTTATAGGGGTGCGTGTATTGATTTCTCTCACGACACTTTCCTACTATTTATTTTTATTTTCCAGAGGGTTTAATCCATGCAATATATATATATATTTATATATATATATAAAACCTCCAATAAGAGGGGTAAAAGCAACCCATCAAAACCAGAAGGGACAACAAGAAGTAAATTAATCACAATTACTGCCCTTCCACCCCAATTGCCTGTAGCTTTTCGCCACGAGGCGGACTAATCTACTCCTACACACAGGCACACACCCGCCGACAGCACCCGGGGAAGCAGCAGGGGTTGGAGGGCTGGGGCGGATGAGTCAGTGAGGCCGCTCCAAGGCACAGGCACTTCCTTCCGGCTCTGCAGTCTTGTCTCCGACCTCCGCCCTCACGCGGACTTCCCTCTCCCTCTTTCCGCCTCTCTCTCTCTCTCTCTCTGGTCACCGACTTGTACATACATACATAAATACACACAGAGAAGCGGTTGCGGATAGTCGACCCCTCCCAGTGACTCACAAATCTTTCCGCGGAGAGTCTGCAGCACTCGCACCTCTTCGTCGGCCCCCTCGCCAGCAGCCATAGCCGGGGGCCACCCGCCGCGCGGCCGAGAGAAAAGGCCAAACGGCTTCCGCACGCGCCCCGACGCACTCGGACTGTGTACAAAACCGCGTAGACCTACCCCGTCGCGGTACTGACGGGCAGAGCCCTTAACCACCGCGGCCACGCCCACCGTCTCGGGCTCTTCTCTTCTGTCATTGGTTGGAAGCTCGAGGGCGGGTGGCAGGGCATGGCCGCCGCGCGCGCATGCGTACTCTTTCGGCTTCCCTTTCCCCGGCGAAGTGAGCGGCTGGGCTCGGGGGTTATCAGGGTGATGCATCCCGCCCCCCACCCCCCCCTGCCCTTTGGAGAAGGCAACTGCCTTATCTTTTCCGTTAGGCGTGACTAAGAGAAAGTCAGAGCGGCCGGAACTGTCAGACGTTACTCAATCTGATGCGGGCCCAGCGTCAGAGCCAGATCTAAACCGCAGTATAGAATCGGTGCTTTCTGCATATCAAAACAAGTGTTGATTTGGAAAATGGAAGCAGTTTTGAAGAAACTGGGAGAGGGGAGCGGCTCTTTCGGCAAAGGCTGGTACATACCGGTATCATGACGAAGGAAGGTTATAAAAACGCATGAGGCTCTTAATTGGGCATTTCTATATTAGTGATGGGTCGTTTCGAATCAGTCTTGACTTATGGCGACTGCCTGGAAAAAGTTCCTGCGTTTACTTGGCAGGACTTCGGAAGTGGTTTGCCATTGCCTGCTTTCTAAGGCTGAGAGAGAGTGACCGGCCCATAGTCATCCTGCTGGTTTCATGTCTGAGTTGGGATTAGAACTCACAGCCTCCCAGGGTCCAGCCTGCTACCTTAATCACTATAACAAATTAGCTGCCTAAATCCAAACTGCCTGGCCCCAGTCGGAGAAATATACAGGCTGTTTGCTGAACTGTATCCTATATTTCCTTTACAGGTCCTTCCAATTGGCTGATTCTGGGTAAGGAAGCCAGCCAAGATGTTTCTGGAGACTGTTGTGAAATAATGTTGAAATAAGGAGGAAGATATTATTTTAACACTTGTACATCTGAAGATGAGGTCAGCCTAGCTCATTCCTGGATTGGGAATGAGATGAAGGTGGCATCATGGAGACAGCAAAAAGTTATTTGCCAGGCCCGTCTGTGCTGTGATTAGGTGCCAGGGAGGAAAAGTGCTGTTGATTGGATTATAAAAAAAAAAAACCTTTCACACTAACTGCCTGCATTCAGACTCAAATTATCCTACTTTGGGTACATTATGGGTTTTTCAAGAAAGAGAGAATTAAGGATTTTCTTTAAAATATCTTAAATGAGCAAACATCTAGCTGTACATTTATTTAGTTGTATTTAAATTTATCATGTAACTGTAATTAAATGTTTCAATTATAATTGTAGCAACATTGTTGATTTTTCTGGTTACCAAAGATTTTTGAATGGCATCTAAATTATAATCCAAATAATATTTTTTTTTTAAGTTTGAAAATTTGGGACCACCATCAGCAAGATGGATCAACTCAGTAACATTGGCAATGAGCATATCATTGGAAAACCTGAAAGAACAGGTTAGAGACTGATCATGGAGAAAATCTTGATGGGACATAAGCCACTATGCCTGGACTGGAAATATCCGTAGGACCAACCAGATTATGGCTATGAATTAACTGTTTAAGTAATTCTTTGTGGCCATCTTGTGGATGCACTGAAATTTGCAGGCCAGATATAATAAATGTACTTTATAGACACGGAGGTAAAATACAAAAATTGCTCTATGGAAATTGCTTTATTAAAGATTCCTCAAACTAGTAACTCAACTGCACTAAGCCATGGTTGGCTTAATTATGGTTTATTGAAGAAATGGTTGAATTTACATAGCAAAAGGTATATAAAAGTATACTTATAAGCTATAAGTATAGCTTATAAACCACAATGGCTTCTGATTTAGCTATTAGGTTGACTAAAATCCACTTTTAATTATAAGAGTTAGCACAATTGTTGGCACTAAAATGGGCTTTTGAATCAAAATTCCTTTTTAGAAAGAACAGTTAATGCCACTATAATTATATTTTTCCTTCCTTTGTCCTTGATTTCTAGCAATGATTAATAACAGAATAGAACAGCTTTCTACATTCCTATAGATCATATTTCAGACAAATCTATTCAGGACAAAGTAATAAAGAAATCTGAAGCTGAAGAAAATGCTTTTCAATATATTCAATAAGATTTTTTTCTTTCAGTAATGTACTATCACAATTAACAAAAATGCATTTAGAATGTTAGAAAAAAACTTTTAGGTATCAGTAAGGTCTGACCTGTACTAAATTTTCTTTAGTATAATTTCACATGCAGTTATATCACCTAAAATATATGTGGAGTGAAAAGAAACAGCAGCAGCAAAATCTACAGGGTTACTTTCACATATAACATAGTTTGCCATAATGTGGTTTGCTTTTGGCTTCATAACTAATAACCTATAGCTTATTGTGTTGTGCTAGATATATATTGCTTGTTTAATTTCTAATTTAGCTTCCTGTCATTTCCATTCATCTTTTACTAATTTGTACCCAGAGATCCAGAAAGAGGCTGAAAGTTACAAGATATATGTTGCTTCCTTTGAATGAGTTTCAATTTAATACTGTGATTTTTTTAATGTTTTTTTGAAAATATATTTTTAGCAAGAAGGAGTAGGTGGATGTAAAAACAGAAGGGTTTAGAACACTGAGTGCAGATGGATATGTAACTTTTGGATGTAACTCACTGTAGAAAAGGAACATTAATAATAACAGCAGAAACTTTTAATAGGATATAACTGAAGAAAGTGGATTATTGAAGTAATGCCAGCCAATTTTGGTATCAGTTACTAATCAGTATTTCCTAGAATTTATTCTAATTAGCAATACTTAAAGGCCATCTTAAGCATTCATATCCTATGCTACAAAACATGCAGTATAGTTTCCATCTGTTTTAAGACACATACTAACATATACTTTAACGTGCTAATCTTGAATTTGGGAAGCTGGACCGTAGTGGTTGGTCATATGAAAAGTATTAATGCTAAATGAGATTTCTTTTTGTTCATGTTTAGATCACAAAAGATTCAAAATTTATAGTTTTTTCAAATGTTCTTAGACTAAACTTCTTTCATCCCTGGCATTTAAAATTGATTTTGAATCAGAGTTGGTTTCAGAAAAAATAAGTGATTTATATTATGTAAGAGTACAAGAGTTAACCAATGTGTAAACTAACCTGTTTCTTATTTTGGTATGCAATGTTCCTGTCATACTACTTGTGAGACAAGGAAATAGCCCTGGTGGGAGAGCAACTAAAGTCCAAGAACAAGGACAATTACTCCAAAAGAGAAATAGACTGCTAATTGTTTTAGCAATTGGCATCCTAGAACTGAACTCCTGAAGCTCTGCCATGAAAGCAGATTTCATTCCTGATGGTTCCTTATTGTGTTGAGTCATGAGGAAGAGCTCTCCATATTGAACTATAATAATTTTTAAAAGTTAAAAAAAATAGGCACTCTCTATATTGAATCCCACATTATGGCAGTGGAGGATCTCAGAAAGGTTTCAAGGAATAACTTCTTGTTGTAACCCAAGGAATTCCTAGTATGGTAGTGACACAGTACAGATTGCACACAAACACGGAATAAAATACATACTGTTTACAGTATGGACAGAGGCATTAAACTAAGCCATAGTGCAGTCTGTTTGTTGGATTTGGGCATGTATTGACTAAATCCAATCATGGTGGTTTGTAAAGTATGGTCTGTGGCGTAAATTCCCAGAGATGCCAATGTATTTAGTACTTAGTTTCATAATCCTTGGTTCCCACCAGCTTTCACATCCACCTGTTTTTTTTGTTTTTTTTTTAGATTATGTTTTTGCAAAAGAGTGATCATTTAACTTTTTTCTAAGATTGACATGTAAGTTGTATGGTCAATTTGCATTGCGGGTGATTTTCACATATGCTGGAATATCAAGCTTTCATAAAATCTGAAACATTGAATGACTATACTCTTGATTTTCTGATGTTTTAGGATGAATTTTGAGTAAGCTTTATCAACCAACTGCTGTCAAAATAATTTAGTACAATTATGATGTAATCATTGCATGACAACCATTGTATGCTTTATATGATAGATAAATTGTGGAAGGAAGGAAGGAAGGAAGGAAGGAAGGAAGGAAGGAAGGAAGAGACAATACAGAATGAATGAAAGAATTTGGCTAATTTGATGAAATCATTCATTATTATAATTTGTTGAGGGAAAAAAGTTTGATTCTCTTAGTAGTTGTGAATGCCAGTTTTTAATAGTTCTATTAAAACAAAATGCATATGCCATTATGTATTAACATTGTCCTTAACAATTATATTTGCTTTAATTCTATGTTTGTTGTAATACTTGTCCATTAGGCTGATTAATAAAATTCCAATAATGAATTATAAACATAATATTGTCATATTAAAATTGGTTTCTATAAACTGTAGTGAACAAGCAAATTACAAAGTTAGCATGTTTTTATCAAAATATACAAAGCCCTCAAATGTAACAGAAGCTATTATTTTCCATATGAGTTAAACAGTTATAGAAAATATTTGTACAATTATCACTACATACAAATCTTAACCAACGTTGGCTTTGGTCTAGAATTATTGAGATAATATTGTTTTACAAAGTCTCATAAAGTACTTATTTTAAACAGCTTATAGTAATTATAATTTTGTAAGTGATAGATTTTCACATCAAAAATGTTTTATGTATATAGTTAGATCTTTTTCAGTGCTTATATTGTGAGGGATACGTTCTATTTAGTTACGTGCAAAATGACATCAGACAAATTAAGAATAAATATGTTATCATCACAATTTCTGTTATATAACGTGGAAATGTGAGCATAAAAGGCCAAAATTAGATGTACCAAATAGAATACTCTTCATTTAGATACTTTTTCTATAATAAAATGTGTGCAGTTTTCTACATTCTCAAACTCTTAAAAATTTGAATATGTTTTACAGAGAAAACTTAATTAAAGGACCACTATTTAGAGGATTTTAGATGCTGTAGACCACATTTTAGTCCAAACATTCTCCAAAATAACGGACCAGTCAACTGTATTCAAAATAGTCTGAATGAAAAAAAGTTATATCAGTTTTTCATCAGTTGTGACAATTTATATAATTTGTCTTGTATTTTATGCAAAATTATATTATGTAATTTATGTCATTTGCATAATATATAATATGCAAATTGTATAAGTTGCTGTGAATAATTAATTTGTGATTTAATGGACACAGTATTGGGCATCCATGCCCTCTGGTTGGTACATTAAATTGGGGTTTCACTCTTAATTTTCATTGATTCCATGTTCTCTTTCTTTTAGTCACCAACATGCCTAATAAAGTAACTCATTCAGAATAGTTTTCTTTAAAACTTTGCTTTTTTGCCCATATCAGTTTGATTATGTTTCTTCTTTTAATATATGTTGATTGTTTAGCTTGATCAACATGAACATAGTTGATCGATAAAGCCTGGATATATTTTTATTTGAAGAATGTTAATTTCAAATAAAAAAAAAACCCCATCCCGCTCAAAAAAAAAGAAAGAAAGAAAAAGAGAGAGAGAGAAGGAAAACAAACAATAACTAAAACCCTTTCAAGTATATTTGATCACTAGGTAGTGATGCATTTTTACAACAGTCCTAATTTTTAACAGTAAAATAATCAGTATACTATGATTGGTCACATTATTATTATTGAATATATTAGGAGAGAGAGAGGGTGCCCAGTGCAGACTCTGCCCATTAAGTATGCAGAAAGAAAATATGAAGTAATATTGAAAACCCACATTAAATTATTCAGGTAGACAGTTCTATACATCCTTGAGGTTAGGATTGGAGTGTCTAAATTCTATGGTACATTACACAAACTAGCTGGATGACTGTGTCTGTAAAACACTATGAAAGTCAACTTGGAATACAATTCAGTAAATCCAAATATGATAGTATTGGCCTTGGGTTAAATCAAGGTACCAAAACTATCTTCTCACTGATGAGTATACTTAAAATAGGATAAGTGGTGCCTCTCCCCCCACTGTTTTGGGCCTTGAATGTATATTTAGGGGAAAATCTGAAACGGGTGTAAATTTTAGGAAGATTCCATGGAGAAATTTCATATTGTATCCAGCTACCTGTTCCTGTACTGGATTCTTGCAAATTATTTCTTCTCAGAGGACAAGTCATGCCAGGACAAATGAGGAGAAATTACTGTATAGAGTAGACATATATGGTCTGAATGCTCTGATGCTTGTAGAGCCACAGACTAATAGAAAAGTCTGTTCAACAAGATAGAGATCTTATTCCATGTGTGTAACTAACTATGCTCATGAAGGAATTGTATCTAATGCTATCATTTAAACTTCACTTGCACATCAGTCTGCAAATCTGATAGCACTAATATATAATGAGCTCATGACACATTGTGGTACATGTTAAGAATATAAATATTTATTATAATAATACATCTGACTGTGATGAACCAATCATAACCTCTTACAAAATTGTTCTGTAACAGCATATTCAGACTTCAGAATGGGTGAGTGGACTACTCAAATAACAAATCTTAACCAGATGCTTATTGCGTACACATTAAAAATTAAAATTTTAAAACAGTGTTGACCTTCAAACAAATTATAGTTAGGAGAAAGAATGTAATTTCTACTAGCAGAAAACACTTTAACCTTACTATGTTCTGAATGGATATCACTCATTTTTTAGTTGCCCAAAATGATAGATATCGTTAACAAGCTATATTTCCAGTTCAACAGTAAATTCTTTACAATATCCTTTTAAACATTTCAGTTAAGCATATTCTTTTTTACATAAACTTTCTTCTGAGTGATATTAATATCTCCTTATACTTTTTTAGGCTTCATTAGCTTCACTATAGTTTCCAAATTTTGCTTTTTATGGCACATTTAAAATGTAAAGTATGCAATATATGTGAAAAATATATATCTCAAATTTTAAGAACTTCCATAAATTTGGATTTATTTATTTTTTGCATTAATTACTTGCATCTATGGCCTTTCATCTCTCTTTTCTTTGTTGCCACACCCTTTTCTTACTCAGAGTCCAGAATCCAATGCAGTATTCTGAATATTACTGGCTTTGTTACCCTCTGCGTCAGTTATGCGTTTAGTTAGCAGAGGTTTAGCTGTTTCCTGTTTCTCTGAAACAAAGAAATGTTGACTTTTACATGATTTCAAGCTTTCATTAAACAAACAATCTTTTCTGTCCTCTTGCTTGGGTGGTTTAAACAAATGCTTCTTCTGGTGCATCCCAAGAGCAGCTGCCGTCTTACAAACCTTGGGGCACTGAAAACATGCGTAGCCTTTCCCAGTGTGCTCACGCTTATGCCTTTGCTCATGATTCCTTTTGGTGGAAAGATATAAGAAGCTCTGAAAACAAAATTGACAGTGGTAGCGCTTTTCTCCTGTATGGATTCTCTCGTGTATTTTGAGTGTTTCGTTGAGGGTGAATGCTTTGTTACAGTGTTGACAGATGAAATCCTTGACAGCAGAATGGGTGCGTTCATGCTTCTGTAAATTGCTGGAGATTGAAAAACCTTTCCCGCAGGTTTTGCAAAGGTAGGGCTTCTCCTCCGTATGACACCGCTTATGCATCCTTAGGGTAGAAGAGCTCTGGAAATGCTTTTGGCATAAATCACAAGTGAAAGATTCAGGCTCTGTGGTCTCCCGGTGTGAGTGATCATGGGATATTTCTGTAGAAGCGTTCTCCCTTTCACAGAGCTTACAGTTAAGTTCTGGCATTTTCTCTTCTTGATTACAGACCTTCTCTTCAGGAATATTCCTAAGAGCATAAGTGGTGACATAGGCCTTCTCGCTTTCCTGACAGGATTTTCTGCTCCTATATTTCTCTCTCCATTTTGCTTTTCTCATTTTTCTTAATTGTTTAGATTTCTTTTTTGGTTTGTAATTGTAATATGGTCGCCAAGGTTTATCATTAGAGTCATGGTCACTGACATCATCGCCCATTTCACTTTCAATGTAGTCTGATGGACAAACTCGAGACAGGCTTCTCTCTCTCTTTTCCCGTTCTGCAACCTGAACTGTCTGATCGCCTTTGGATTCATATTTAGATCTTCTGCCTTTTTTGTAAAACAATTTGGACCCCAAAATATGTCTTTTCACAATAGCTTCATTTCCAATTTTAACTGTTATTTGACAAAGTGGAGCAACATTGCTGTCAGCAGATGTTCCTGGCAGTGCAGGTTTTGCGATATAAGTTTCAGTCTTACTTGAAGTTTCAAAGATATGTGCAGGTGTGTTAGAAGCTATCCCTGTATTCGTTGTATATTTTACCTCCTTTGAAGTTGCTTCTCTGTCATATAGAGGCACCTTTTTCTTTTCTTTATTGCTTCTTGTTCTACTATTGCCATTGTCTGATTCATGTATAAGATCATTGCTGGCTACTTGACTGATTGTAATATCTGAAGTTCCCTTATCACTTCTTCCTATTGCATTGACAGCATTACTGTGCATTATCACAGATGAAACTCTTCCACTATGCATTATAACAGAAGATGCTGAATTGTTATAGCTAATTACAGAGGTTGAATTCTCATGGGAATTGCTGTTAGTAATTGTTTGACAAGAGGAATCATATTCCTGAGGACCAGAATCCTCAACAGAAGATAATGTCCTTCTGTTAGTGGGACTATTATTGTTAAGATCTGTCCTTGATGAAATTTTCCAGGAAGAAACATTTGGAGGATTTTCAGATGTTGTCGTAGCATCACCACATGAAGAACTATCCAAAGAAATGCTGGAACTTGGCAACATATTGTGTTCAAAATTCAAGGATGCCAGTTCAGAAGTGACAGTATTCTGAATAATACAGGTGCTAGATGGAACTTCATTAACTTGTACACTTTCATATGATGAGTTTCCGTAACTTTTATATGGTGCCCTTTTACATTTCATAGGCAAAAGCCTGTAAAGCTTGTAAGGATATACATTTGGTTTCAAGCCACCATTAGCTGTTTTCTTGTTTACACCAAGTCGATGATCAATTGCATGAAAAGATTTCTGATGGTTCTTGAGTATATAGTATGTCATAAAGGTCTCAAGACAGAAGATACATTGGTATCGCCTTTCACCTGTGTGCCAGATTTCGTGTCTGGTACGGTACTCTGCTAATGCAAAAACTTTGTTGCAGTAATGGCAAGGATAAGTTCTTCTCCAAGAATGAACATTTGAATGTCTTCGGAGGCTGGACAAGGTAACATAGGTACGTTTACAAACACTGCAAGTATAAAGTATCTGTCCACCAACAACTTTAACAAAATGGTCTGTTTCTGGCATTGTACCGTTCGTAGCAGGATAATCAGTAAATTCATTTTCAGTTTCTGTGGGCTCCGGGCTTACATACGAGGTGCCAGTTTTTTCATTTGAAGGAACAAAATTATCCAGACTATTCTGCTCATTTTCATTTTCAATGCAAAAATTGTTCAGGCCCCTACATGCTTGTTCATGAGACTCTAGCCCAGCAATATTTTCAAACTGTTTGCTACAATATTTGCAAATTGAAGTCTCTTGAGATTGTGAATGAAGTTTAAGATGAGTGCTTAGTTGAGTTTTATCATTAAATGATTTAGTACAACAATTACAGTTATAAGAATGTGGAATGTCCATGGCTATTGATCCAGAAAGGTTATCAGATTTATTTTCATCTTCCTTAGAAGAGGGACTATTGGTTTTATTTGGCTGGGATTTTTGAAAAGAATGGCTGTGGTCTTTTATGACTTTATGGGGAGCCTCTGAACTGCTTCCCTTGTGGACTGATATCTTTACAGTAGGAGCATCTGTGATCTGGGAGTTAAATCTAGCCTTTGGCGCATTATATGACTGTGTTGCTGATTTAACTAGAGGCACTGACTCGGCAGCTTCAGAACAATCTTCACCTGTTTTATAAAGTGGAGTGTTTTCATAATAAAAGGAATTTTGTTGCAGAGCATTGCAACCAGTTGTAACAGCATAGGAATGTTCAGCTAATGTGCTGGCTCTCTCAATCTCTTTGCATGCGTCAGTCCTGTCCAAATCACTATTGGATGCTTTATTTGTTTCAGGCATTTTTTTAAAACTTGCCCTCAGGTCAAGAGGAGAAAACAAATTATTACTATTTTCAGTTTCAAAAATTGAGTATGCATTCGTGATTCTTGGTCCATTTGTAACAGCTGAGTCTTCCTGTCTTTTTTCTTCTTTCACATCATTTTTTTCAGTATTGCAAAATGAATACAGACAAGGGGAACCGGAAAGGCTCTTTTCTGTAAGATCTTCTAAAAAAGATATTCCCAATTTTTTGCCTGCAGCTGCAAGATCCACAACAGACTCTTGTTTTTTAACAATTACTGTAGAACTGTAGATGTAATTAAGTATCTCTGTGAACACTTCAGCCTTGAGACCATCTAGTTCCAACACATGTCCAGAAATGCAGATGGTATGACTCCAAAATATATTTTTGAAATAAAGGCTTGAAGCAGCCAGGACATTACTGTGGGCTTTGAATTTGGTGTCTTCTACAATTATGGTAACATCACATAAAATGCCCCGAATGCGTTGTTCATTTAATATGGAAAGGACGGTGTCACTGTGGAAGTCATCTTTGAGATCCTTTAAGTGGGACATGATGGTCATCTGTTTAAATAAAGAAGAGATTTTAAAATCAACAACATCAAATGCTAAGTTACTTATGGTCCTCATACCCTATCACAAGCTAATCACTCTCGGCCACTTGCATACAATATATACCTATGATACATACAAAGTAAAACATCCACAGTACAATTAAAACCTATAATGAGATCATAAAAGTCTCCAGTGAAGCCCAGTAAACAACAAACAAGAACAACAAAGAAAAAATGGACAAATTTGAAGTTCAGAGGATACCTCAAGAATAGTTCTGTTTTCAGGAGTTTTTTAAAAGTCAACGAATCTGATCTCCAGTGCAGACTATACCAGAGCACTGTTATAACTGACCAGCAGAAATCATAAACCACCAGTTAATCAGTGCCAGCTTCTTTTGCCAAAGAATACTTTTTTAAAAAAATCACAGAAAGGTAACTACAATTATTAAAATAATAGCTCTCCCCCCCATAATTTCAGTGTATGTTAGGTGTATTCATCTGACTATTCTACTACCAAACAAAAACTGAATTGTTGCTATGGAGAATTGCTGCTTGATCATCAATGAACAGTTAGTCTTGCATACAAATCATTGCTGAAATCTGTGATTATGCCATGATGACATAGTTTTGCATTTCCCAACAGCTGCAACCCTCTAGGCATGATGTGGTGTGAGGAGAGAATATAATGCCTTCCTTACTCTTATAGACCAGGGGATAAAATAAAAGAGTTTGATAAATGATGCTTAAACAGGCAGGCAAATAACACTAGACAGGCTTTATAGGACTGTGAATTAAAACAATGGCATAATTTTGGTTAGGGTAGGTCAGGTAGACTTCCCATCACTACTTGTATCTTGTGCCATAGCTTCAACATAGCCATGATATACACACACATGCAGCAACATTTGGACAAACATGATGTGCAAGAAGGAAATGGAGAAAACCTTACCCTTTGCTGCCATCTAGTGGTGGCTGCAGAGTTATAGTCCAGCTCTTGTATGCCTAATAAGAGCTTTTCCAACCGGCAAGATGCTGAACCAAGGGGAAAGGGAGATTTGGAATGACTGAGATGAGGGGAGATCTTCATATTTATTTATTGCATTTATATGGTTGCCTATCTCGGAAACACGATCCCCATATTGCTCAGGCCCACTACTGCAGCTTCAGAACATGTGAGAATATGCACTGAACATGTATCTGAAACTTCTTAAAGCAGCTGCAACTGTTTATATCACAAACCCCAGTAAAGAGAGATTTCATTCATTGTTCATTCATTCATTTTACAGGACTTACAAACTGTTTCAATCAGGATTGCCTAGTGGCATACAATTTCCCCTCTATAATTACGATAAAAGTAAAAGTCAAGGTACAACTATCCAGCCTAGAATCACCTATATAAGATCCTGAAATGAAACACAATCTGCAAAATAGAATTACAGGGAGTTCTCATTTAGCAACTTCCTTGTTTAGCAATAATTCACAGATAAAAAGTAACTTTATGACCAATCCTCATATGTATGACCTTCTTAGGAAGAAAAACTGAAGTAAGATAATAAGCACAGTCACAGTTTTACTTAGCATCCACTTTGCTTAATGTTTGAGTTGCCAGTCCCAGTTGTCACCAAATGAGGACTGCCTGCAATAGTTTTTCATTGTTCATAGAAAAAACAAATGCCAAGTTTTAACAAACTTCCTAAATATCAAAAGAAAAGGGGCCATTTGAATGGGGAAAAGCTGTGCCCCCAGGAGTAGGGCAGCAATCATATTATAGCTAATGTATATGATTTATATACTGTATATACTGTAGCTAAAAAACAGAGCAGAAAAATAATAACATGTCATAGGAAAGGTAGAGTGAGAAGTGAAATATTTTTTCTTTAAGCAAGCTATGATATAATATAGGTTTAATTGCTGATTTGAGGTATTTAATCCCTGTTCTTCCTATGATATTTCCTCTATCATTGAAGACCATGACTGATTGATTTTGTGACTCCTAGAAATCAGATAGGTAGACGGACAGACAGACAGACAGACAGATGATAAATAGGCAGGCAGGCAGAAGTCCTAAAATATTTGAAAGTCTGGAGACACATGCCACTGACTTCTTTAAAAAAAGCCTCTTCAAATTTCTGTAACACCTTAAGTATGAGTAAGTCCCACTGGACATTTCTACTATACATGTATTTAATCATGTATTTGTTCATGTATATATTTATTTATAAAATATATGTAATACATTTAGATGAATCTATATTCTTGGTAGCTTGCTCTTGCTCTAGTCCTGCCTTCTTTTTCTTGACTAAACCTTGTCATGCCTCAAAAGATGGAATGTGGCCTCAGCTCAAATGCATTTATTCAACAGTGAGGATAACTGAGCCGTCAGATAGGAGAGGATTCTCATACAGTGAAAACAAGAAGTATCCTGAATGGAACTTCACTCATGAAATTAATTGAGAAAAAGGAAGTAAGAGCCTGGTGGCGCAGTGGACTAAGTGCTGTTAAAGGTAGTATTTAGCTTCCAGCTGCCTGCAATTACTGCAAGTTCAAATCTCACCAGGCTCAAGGTTGACTCAGCCTTCCATCCTTTCGAAGGTAGGTAAAATGAGGACCTGGATTGTGGGGGCAATAAGCTGACTTTGTATAAAAAAGAACACCACTTGGGGGGGGGGGCGAAAGCCCTACTAAGCAGGTATATACAAAAGTATGAAGGCTATTGCTTAATGCATTGTAAGCCGCCCTGAGTCTCCGGAGAAGGGCGGCATATAAATCGAACTAATAAATAATAAATAAATAATAAAGTACATTCAATATTACAAGGAGGATGGTTGGAAAATTCCATGAATATTATAAATATTATAATTTGGGCTGATATGTATATGCTTTTTGTTGTAAAAGGTTAGATTTGTTAATAGAATGTTATGCCTTTCTATACAGAAGTAATCCAATTTAGCTGAATGGGATTTATTATAGGAGTTGTTTCAGATTGTGATAAGATGAATTGCCAAACATTTTTGCAAGTCTAGGCTAGGGGGTTTCTCCTCAGACATAGTTTTTAAACATTTGGGAATGCGTGAGAAAGTAAGCAAGATTACAGATGTTTGAATAGCCGTTCTATAAATTCTCATTTGGAAAACTAAAGGTACATGTCGGAATTCCTGTTGACTGCCAAGGGCGGTAGATCATGCTATGTGTTATGGAATTAGAAATTCAAGCATTTGATATCTAAAGTAAATTACACAATTGCAACTATTGACGTTGATTACTGGTTTAACCTGGTAATGAAGGCTGTCAGCTTTGTTTTCTGACATGTAAACTAACGAAATTTACAAATTCATTCCCTTTCTATTCTCTCCATAACTTGCTGACAATACAAAAGGACCCCATTGTTTACAAAGGATTAATAATTTAATTTGACTTAATATTTCTAAGCATGCCAAAAATATTTTTTTCAGTTGACCAATTAACAAAAAAAAATAAAAAAATAAAAAAAAATTAGGAGGATTGGGGGTAAATACTTATATCTAGATCATAATTGTCTGATATTTTTAGGTATTTTAATTTTTGAAATAAATCTGTTTCTATTTTCATTGGAGTAGCTGTATATCATTTTTGGGAGTAGCATATCATTATTTTCAAAGTTGAAATTATTTGCTATATAGTTCATTAATAAACTCCATAAACAATCTTCAAGGAATGTGAATGACATGGATGGTTTTAACTTTCTTTTTATTCACAAAATGTATGCATCTCCATTTTAGCAACTATTTTTCATTTTTAAGAACGATGGGTGATTGCTAAAATTTCTGGAGGCAAAATATTTTTCATTGCATATTTTTCTATTGGAAACCTACCTACCTACCTACCTATCTTCATCACATCATCACAATCATCATCATCATCATCATCATCAATATGCATGAAAGAATCTTCAATAGAAAGAGTGTTGAGTGGAATGTTCATTGCTCAATTAATCAATTCTGCAGAGAGCTTCTTCCATACAGCAGAAAAACAAATTCCTCCTGAATTCAATCTAGAAAATTGCATATTTGATCACAGATGTTTTCTGGGTGTCTGAACCAGCTTAATCACTAGAGTAATTAATGCCTTAAATTTACCTGAAACAGAATGTATTTTATGAATCTCTAAATGGGATTTTTCCTGTTAGGCCCTTACTTCCTTATTGTCTCTTATTCTTGCATTATCTTGGTCTTGTATGACCACAAGATGGAGCTTAGTTCAAAGGAGACTACATCAGACTATTGGGAAAAAGAAAATAACAAATATAATTTTAGTAACATGAGTAATCTATTTCTAAATTCCCAAATTATTTATCAGGCATTTGTACTGTAACTAACAAATCCCGCTTTATTTACTGTAACATCAAGACTTCCTATGGACTGAATTTGTCTTATACCACTGGAAATTATGAGCACAATAAATATTTTATATTTCCCATTTATTTATAACTGATTAAATACCACTATCAGATACTGGCATTTATTAAAATTATCCACAGATTATCTCAGATTGTCTCAGATTGCACTGCTAGAAAAAAATGTCCTGATGAAACAAGAAGATTGAGTACCCATATTTGTTACAGTGTGTGGATAATGGGCTGATACCGGTAGAACAGTGACAAATCTGAGGGTTCTGATTTGCATACTGTTTGAGTCATGATAGCCATCATGGGACTGTGATTCAGTAAGTGTGTAAGAGCTATTGTTCTGCAACTGAGTGAGATAGCCGTATTATCTCTGAAGATACAGTTCTATAGTTAAACAAGATGGACTGTATTTTCCTTCTCTGGTAAGGCAGAGAATAAAAGAATAACAGATTTTAAAGAGGCCTTGGAGATCTTCTAGTCCAATCCTCTGCTCAAGCAGGAGACTTGTACCATTCCAGACAAATGGCTGCCCAATCTCTTCTTAACCACCCCAACGATGCCCTTGATGTGATGTCTCGCTGCCTGGAGGCCGTGCGGGTCTGGATGGGGAGGAACAGGCTCAGACTCAACCCGTCCAAGACCGAGTGGCTGTGGCTGCCGGCGTCCCGATATAGTCAGCAGGTGCCATTACTGACTATTGGGGGTGAATCTTTGCCCCCCACAGAGAGGGCTCGCAATCTGGGTGTCCTCCTGGACGCACGGCTGTCTTTAGAAGAGCACATGACGGCCGTGGCCAGGGGGGCCTTTTATCAGGTTCGCCTGATCCACCAGTTGCAGCCCTTTCTGGACCGGGACGCCTTGCGCATGGTCACTCATGCCCTTGTCACCTCCCGGCTGGACTATTGTAATGCTCTCTACATGGGCTCCCCTTGAAGAGCACTCGGAGGCTCCAACTGGTCCAGAATGCGGCCGCGCGGGTGGTTATGGGCGCAACCCGTTGTGCCCGCATGACACCCCTCCTGCGCGAGCTGCACTGGCTCCCAGTGGTCTTCTGGGTGCGATTCAAGGTGTTGGTTATCACCTTTAAAGCGCTCCATAGGTGTTGGTTATCACCTTTAAAGCGCTCCATGGCATAGGACCCGGGTACCTTCGAGACCGTCTTCTGCCACCAATAGCCTCCCACCGACCAGTCCGCTCCCACAGAGAGGGTCTCCTCAGGGTGCCATCAGTCAAGTTATGTCGGCTGGCGACACCCAGGGGGAGGGCCTTCTCTGTGGGAGCCCCAGCCCTGTGGAATGAACTGCCCCCGGAAATATGTAAGCTCTCCGACCTCTGGGTGTTTCGCTGCGCACCGAAGACCCTGTTGTTCCGCCAGGCAGGGCTATCAACATAATAATTTTAAATTGGGGTATTTTAAATTTTTGGGGTTTTAAATCGGCCAAATCTATTTAATTATTTTAATTTTTAATCATTGTTGTGTCCTGTGTTTTTAAATTGGCTGTACACCGCCCTGAGTTCTTCGGGAGAAGGGTGGTATAGAAATAAAATAATAATAATAATAATAATAATAATAATTATTATTATTATTATTATTATTATTATTATTATTATTAAAATAACAGCTACCTTTCATGCCTCACTGAAACTC